TATTATATTAACTTCTTTCAAGGTATTTTTTTATAGAAATAGATAGATTGAACTTTGTCTTAGATGTAATATTGTTACAAATAGGAGCAAATGATAAATTCCATCTAATTTCTTTCTATTTTAAGAAAATTTTAATAACAAAGAAGAATTATGAAATTTATAATAAATAATTTTTTATAATTAAGAATTTATTTTAAAAATGGTGTCATTACTTAAAAGACACTTTTAGTCCAATTATCATATATATTGATTATAAGAACCTCAATTATTTCATGTTAGCACATGTTTTGAGTTATTGCCAAGTTTGTTGGAGCATATCTTTATTAAAATATGATTTTAATATTATTTATCAATTGAAAAAAAAAGTTTATCAAATGCCTTTTTCAAACGTTTTTATCTTGTTCTCTCAAAAAGAAATACATCTTTTGACCAACAAAGAGTAATCATCCTAAAACCAAAGAAATTTCATCTTTAAACAATAAAATTAACATTGATTTTTGATTCAATTTTTTTCAAGTAAGTTCAATTAAATATGTCTTGTAATGCTCTTATTTATGATATTAAGCATAATTCTTTTAAGTCTCATGATACTTCCAAATTTAGGTTTAAAAATAAACTAATCTATTTTAAAAATTACTTATATGTTCTAAAAGGTGAAATAAAATTATATGTTTTTTAAGCTCGTTATGACTTCTTTGCAGCCACACATTTTTTATTCAACAAGATTTTAGAACTAAAATCTAGAATTTTTTAGTGGCCTCAAATGTAATAAGCAATCAAAGACTTTGTAAAATCATATGACATTTATTCAAGATAAAAAATTCTTTGTCATCGACCTTACAAAAATTTTCAACCATTATTGATTTTATAACAATCATAGTATTTTGTTTTTGTAGAATTTATGACAAATCTTTTAACCTTAGATTCTTATGATTTTATATTTGTGATAGTAGATTTTTTCACTAAGATGACATATCTTGTATTTTGTATAATATCTATCATAAGTGAAGCAACAACTAAATATTTTTCTTGACAAAATTTATTATTATCATAGATTGTTAAAAAATATTATATTAGATATAGAGATTCAATTTATAGTAAGATTTTAGAGAATTCTTGTAAAGATTCTAAAGGTAGATATAAAACTATTTTCAACTATCTATTCTCAAATCAATGGACAAACAAAGAAGGTGAATCAAGTTTTGAAGGAGTATTTGAGGTATACCATCAATTACCAATAAGATGATTATACAACTCTTTTGTCATTAGAAAAATTTATTCATAATAATGTGGTACATTTGTCTACTCAATAAACACTTTTTTTTATTAATTATGATTATTATCCACAACTTGATACTTTTGACTTTTCAAAAGTTGATAATTGTGATGCAAAAGATTTGGAAAATTATTTATTGAAGCTACATACAATAATAAAGGCACAACTAAAATGAGCTCAAGACCAATAAAAGATCAACTTAGATGCCTATTGCAATGAACAATCTCAATTCTATGTGGGAAATAAGATAAAATTATTTTATTATAATATCAAGACTATTTATTGTAATATATATATATATATATATATATATATATATATAGATGGGAAGATACAATAAGTTTGATATCATAACCTCGGAAGAGACTTTCAATATTTGATGACTTTATTGGAAGTAGAAACAATTCTTGATGGTGTTACAAATATTTTGTTTGAAGAAAGATATAAAGGCCTAAAAAATGATTAAATATCAAAGTGATATTTTTACCTTGAAATAACATATTATTAATAGCTGAAAGGACCTATCATCTACCTTCAAAGGAAATAAAGATAAAAATATGTAGTAAATACAATTTGTTGTATTTTAAACTTCATCGATATATGATCACTATTCCTCATGGAATTTATTTCTAAAAGGAGAGAAAATATCATAGACATATGTATTTAATCCAAAAATTATTTAGATAATATTAATAGATAGAAGTAAATAAAAATAGATAAATTTAATAATATCTTATACAAAAAAACTTTAGAAGTTTTATAGATGTGGCTTTGGCTTTGTACGTGTTTGTAGTTGATTAGTAGGTTAGAAATTTGGCCAATAATTTAATAACTTGTTACATGTATTGAAAGGTTGCAGTATAAGTTAACTTTGTGGCAATCTTATAGAATGTCACCACATAGCTCCTAATTATATAATATATATGGAAGTAAAAGTGAAATCTTCTTTATGCTTGTCAATGCCTTTTTAGTCTTTAATCTTATTTCAAGACTTTTTAGTCTAATCGTCTTTGGTAATAGTTATTCCAATTTCAATACTATAATAATTTTGAGTAAATATTTGTTCTTTTTAAGTGACATAAGAGTGTATTAAGTTATTATTTGTTTAAAATTCATATCTTTGGTATATAATAGGTATGCATATTTTAACTTGAGGTGTGCATGTAGCTTGAGCCAAAAAAAATAGTCGCATTCAAAGACACATACATATATTTTTGGCTATTACTTTAAGACATTGGATGCAAAAGTAAGAAACATTAAGCACATGAAATCTAAGACTATGAACAATGTTTATTGAAATTTGAAATAAAAACTTTATATAATTAAGTTTCACAAGGGATTGCAAAATAACTTGCTTCAATTCATAGTCTTTGTTGCTCATGCTTTTGAAAATGAGGGAATCAAACAAATAATGACCTTTAAGTGACACTATGAATTCAAAGTAATTGTGTATCATACATGTAACTATAGATTGTAAAATGTAATTATATTATTTAGGTAAGTTTTAAAAAATATAATTGATTTTTATTTTTGTGCATATATATATATATATAATTATAAGTTTAATCTTCTTATTCCAATAATCTTAAAATTATTATTAAATATTTTATTAATTTTTTATTGAATAAATATTTTTAAATAATATTAAATTGAATATAACATAAAATCCGATTGACAAACTATGTCATTTCAAAAAATATTCTACTATACTTTTTGATTTATAAAAAACAAAAACGAAAAAAAAATATTATCAAATCTTTAAAATCAAAATACATCAAATTAAAGTTTTAAAAGATCAAATTTTATTTTTTTAAGTAGTGGCTTGATTATAAACAAATATGTCATTTTAATATTTTGATTTATATAAAATGGATATTTAGTTTTTTTGAGAAATTAACTATTATGTATCTCTATTTTTAAAATTTTAAAATAAAATAAACACTAACAAAAAATAAAAATATGAATGAGTGTATATATATACATTATAATAATATAAGTATACATGAAAGGAACTATAGCAACTATAATCAAAAAAAATTTATCAATATTTTTCAGAAAAATCTATTATCTAAATTTGATGCCAGTTACAACCATTATCAGAATATGAAATACAATAAGTAGCCCTTAAAAAAAAGTAAAAATTGTATATCAAATTTTTATACAACTATTTTTTAGGACCTAATATAAAACCTCATGTTATCTAAGAAAATAACAGAAAATACGTCTCTGTATCTTCTGCTATCACAATCACATACCTTCTTTCTTTCTTTTTGTACGGAAAATTGAAATAACCTTCTTAAAATATTTATAATTAATATTATTCTTAAAATAATTTGAAACCTTTAAAAAAAATGTTTATCATAAAATCTATTTTTTAAATTGTGTTTTTTCAAATAAAGTACAATAACAAGATACACATCTATCTCCTACTTAAGGAATAATTTTTTGAAAAGATAATCCAAACTACAATTTCAATTTTGATATAAGTATTGAGCTCTAAACTATTTTATTTATTTTTATAAATATGGAAAAACACGTATAATTTTTATTTTATTTTATTTATGTGCCCTTTCATTACAATCAAACATGTTAATAAAGTTTTATGATTGTAATAATAATGACATAATAAAAATTCTCTTTTGGAAACTAAATGAATATTTATTCTTCTAATATAGTGCAATTTTAATAAACTAGGCATCCATGTTATATTTGAGTTTGGTATTTTTGGAACGACCCTAAACATATCCATTGTTTATGTGTCTAAAAAGTACAACAAATTTAGAGAAGTTCACAAAATACCAAACTATTCTTAGGATATTTATAGTTATTTTTGCATTTAAATTGCCAAGAATTAGATTTTTCTATATTTACATTCAATGTTTTATGCTCCTGAAATTCTTGTTTGAGATGAATTTTAACATTTATAAAATTTTAATTTTTTTCATTTATTATTCTTGAAATATAAATACATGTTTTAATTCATTTTGTTTGATTTGTCAATAAAAGTAATAGCACATTGGAAGAAATAAATAATTATTGATTTTTTTTAATTTTTTATATAGAAAATCGAAATATAAATAAAATTCATTCGATTTAGAACTTTTGATGTTATAATATCAAAATTTTTAAGATAAAAATATCAATAATATCAATAAAAATTGTTTAATTTTATTCATAATTTTTTTTTCCAAATAATTAATTTACATAATTAAAAAATCTGGTTTGTGATTCCTGGTAAATTAGAATTTAGAATGAGTATGTATGTACATATATATATATATATATATATATATATGTATATGGAATCTATCAAGAGTGCTGTCAGCAGCTTGAGAACACATACACATCTAATATTCAATTAATTCAAATCTAGTAATATACACATGTATTGAGCCATTTTATTTTCAATTTGAGCCATATAACAACAATAATAAGAATGGTATTTAGATTATAAAATCTTCTTAAATTAATAGAATAAACACAATAGCCTTCAAGCAACCAAAGAATGAGCCTCTAAAACAATTTTTATTGAATTTATTTTTCATTGCCCATTCTGGACCCCCCCCCCCCCGCACACGCAGTCTTCTACCGCTCTCTCATTGGATATCACCCGCGCCGTACGCCGTCCGACGGTCGGAGGCGTCAACGCAGCGGCATTTGTTCGACCCACGGACGCAGAGTGCGGGGGAGGGGAGGCGACCTTTCTTCTTCAGAGCGAGAGACGAGGGGCAGAAGGGTCTCATCAGTGAGCGAGTGAATGAGGGAGGCTTCATCGATTTTGTGTTGTTGTTGCGAGCCTCGTTGCTCATGTTCGTGAGCGTACAGTAGGCGACGATCTCCAGATCTTTGAGTGAATACTCTCGCATTGTGACTCGAGGTTGAATCGGCCTCAATCGCAAGTCGGTGCGAGCTCGGAGGTGGAAGAAATCTTCATCTGAAGTTTGTGAGTCCTGCTCGTCCATACAGGGTTAGCCGGATCGCATTTCGTGGTTTCGTTGCTGGATTGGGTATTTCAGGTGCGTCTCTTGCATCTCCCCGGTGGGTATTTTTTTCCATAGGGATTTCGCGTTATTTTTCTAGTGAAGAGTTAGTTCCTCTCAGGAAGTGCAAGGGCTATATTTGGCCCGCGGTAGTCTGGGATCTGAATGCATGCATGAATGAATGAATGAATGAAGTGTGGGTGTTGGGGTTTGCTTTTGGCGATGGTGAGCTAGGTATGTGAACAAGTGAAGGGAGGGAAAAATGTTGAGGCTACGCGCCTTTCGCCCGACGCAGGACAAAGTGGTGAAACTGTTGCTGCATCCGACGTACCCATGGCTTGTCACAGCGGATGCGAGCGATAACGTTGTGGTGTGGGACTGGGAGCATCGCCAGGTTTGTGCCCTTTGGAGTTTTGCAAGTTTGCTCGGCGATGGATGTAGTAGGAATAGGAAAATGATGCATGGGTGGGTGGAGGCAAAGCTGGGCCTGAATGCCGGCCATCGAATCAGATTTGCAGCAAAAACTGAGTGACACGATCCTTCTCCTTGTGTCTTGTAATTGAAGAGCTTGGGGAAACTCTCTCCCTGTTGACGACCAGCTTCAGAGTAGAAGGTTCCAGCAATCCTTTGGGGCAGATTTTTAGGTCAGAACCTGATTATTTGGCTTCAGTATCGACACCTGGGACTAATAACCACTCGAAGCTTATTTTCTATCGCGTTTTGGGTTCTCCATCAACTCATCGGTGTTCTCGAGCAGCTGACAGCACTTTAATTATACGGAGGATTTTCTCTAATGAGTTTCATAAGTTTCTATATGCTGCATTCAAGAGTGTATTTCTCTGACATTCAGCTGAATTCGTGGCACAGGGTTGGCTATTCGTGTTGACACTATGATCAGCCCTTGCCTAGTTTTCTCGTTCGTATAATCAGTACTCTAGTTCGTGGAGTTTTAGGCTCGGGATTTTATGAGAAAGTTTTCGGTTCTTCCTCCAAGTCGTCCTCCGATGAATGTGATAGGAATTTTGTTGCCAGTGGCAAGTGACGAGTCGCGATGCAATTCTTTTAAAATTTTACAATGTTGACTCTATTCCTACACCTTCTGGACGTTTTTTTCCTGCTTGTTTTCATTGGCGCTTGAAATTGGTATCAATGCAGGTTGTGTACGAGGTAAATGTGAAAGGGGTCGATGAACGTCGTTTGGTTGGTGCACAGCTCCAGAAGCTCGCGGAAGGCGAAGCTGGTTCTAGCTCTTACCTTATTTTCTGTATTTTCGTCGTGTACGTTCTTAGAATGAAGTGGAAGGTTTGCTATGTCATGGCAATTTGTGATTCCTGAAATCTAGTCCTTCATGTTACTCAATTCGCCTTATTTTACAAAAAAATGATTTCTATCAATTTTGAGCGTCTGAGAACCTTCTTAGCGGAAGTAGGCTCATAGCACTTAATTCCTCATCGTGGTTTTGATGGGGCTTGCGTTGGCTTTAATGCAGAGGCTAAATCCAAATCTGGTATTGAGGCCATTCGGGGAGGAAGGTTAGTCGTCTTGTTCTCGAGATCGTGTGGTTTCTCGTCCTCGTTCCTTAAGATCATCAGTAATGCTTTGTTGTTTATTTTTTCTTTATGGCTTTCGATGTGTTTAATATCAAAGCCATTTTCTTTCGAGATACATAAGCGTCAAGCACATAGTAACATGATTAAAATGCGGCAGTGTTTGGTCTTCAGGAGCGTGCCATAGCTAGACTTGTTTTTTCCCGTGCAGCGAAAGTGAAAGCTGCGTTTAAATTTTTATTTATTTGTCTTTGCAATTTCAGCGGGGATTATTTTTTTTTGAATTCAGGAACTGATGTAGCTTTCTGGTACTGCAGTGTTAAGCACGTCACCTTCTATGACGATGATGTTCGATACTGGCAAGCATCAATGGCCCGCTCAGCCGCAGGAGAACTCTCTATCACCGCTGGACAGCAATATCCAGCCAGTGGGGGAGGTCACATGACGATCAAAGGCCGACATTTCTTGGTTGTGTGTTGCGAGAATAAAGTCATTTTTCTGGACTTAGTCAGCATGCGTGCTCGTGATGTCCCTAGAACCACATTCGACAGCAAATCTCCTCTTTGGTAACATTTCATATGCAAGATGCCATTTTCTTAGACGCTGCGATCTATCAGTGTGCACGAAGAGCTTGTGCAGTTGTTGTCTGCTTTGAGGCTTCCCACAACTATTGAGATCTGGTCTCCTATTCCTTCTTGCTGTGTCGCAGTGTAGCGTTTCTACCGCGATCAGGAGTTGTAGAAGGCCCTATTGCTGCATTTGGCTGTTCAGATGGGATCATCAGGGTGCTGTCAATGACACTGTGGCAGGTTCGTACCTTTTCCCTCCTTTCATGTACTTCGTTTTTTTTTTTTTTTTTTTTTTTTTTTTTTTTTTTTTTTTTTTTTTTTTTTTGCTAATTTCCAATATTTGATTTCAAATCCACTTCCCTTCCTACACGAAAATCATTTTAAGTCTGGAGTTGTCTTGACCAGCGAGTTTGTCGTCTTGGTAAAGAGTGAGGAACTGATACTTTGTGAGTTTTTGGAACAGCTTGTGCGACGATATATTAGTGGTCACAAAGGCCCCGTTGCATGCTTATTGACGTTTCAGGCCTCATCAGGCGAGGTATGTGATTTTTTAAATTAATTAATTACAGCAGATAGATTATTGTTTGGATGGCTCTGCAGTGGCATCTAATATGGATTTATTGTGGTATGCAGACGATGTTGATCTCTGGAGGTAATGATGGGACGTTGAGTTTATGGAATGTAGATGGTCCCCAAGCAACAAAGGAGCTTACACCCAAGCTCTCAGTCAAGGTTGTTTGTTTTTGTACTCAATCACTACAGATCGATTTGATATTGCCTACCATCGACGCTAAAGTCCTTATGTCCTTAGCTCCTCCAGGGCTACGTGCTCATCATCAAGATCGTTAGTGCTGTGGTAAATGTCATTTGCTGTTGCTACTATCGTCCTCACTGAAGAGACGCAGTCAATGTGGCAAGAATGCTCTTAAGCGAGATCATTGTATCAAGAGTGCAGGCTCATGATGGAGGGGTTTATGCATTAGAGCTTGCAAGGGTGCGGGATGGTCCTCCACAACTTGTTAGCATTGGAGCTGACAAAACCCTAGCAATCTGGGATACACAATCCTTTAAGGTGAGTATATAATTTGCTTCTGTTCCCTTTCAATGTGAAGAATGGCACCTCAATATCGGTAATTAGGTTGTCATTTTCATGTAGACATATACATGTAGATATATGATTTTTCACATGTACAAGCCTCTTTTTTGCGTGAACTGGCATTTCGTTGATCTTAGAGTTGACCGGACTTATTTTTATTTTCGTTTTTTGTGGAGGAACTGGGTATCGACAATACTCACACAATTCTCGGATTTTTGTGCAGGAATTGAGGCGTATTAAGCCAGTTTCGAAAATGTCTTGTCAAAGTGTAGCATCTTGGTGTCATCCTCGCGTTCCAAATTTAGATCTTCTTGTTTGTGTTAAAGATCCTCATATATGGTAAATATTATTTGCGATAAAGATCCTCATCTTGTATGTTAAACATTAATCTTCGTATCAGACAGTGGAACTGGTGGTCAGATCAAGTGATAGGTTTTGGTTCGACATTTCGTTTGCATGGAGAATGTTGAATGTGTTCTGAAGGAATTATTTTAAGAAATTGAACTAGCAGATGAACTTATTGCTGTGGATTCCTTATCTTTGTTAACAGGGCAATCGAGAATTCAGCATACGGGGCTACAACCAGACCACTTTGCGATTTAACATCACAAGTTCCCGCATCGATGCTTCAATCTGGCAAAAAGCTGAAGGTTCTGTTCTTATGTGTGTTATTCTCTTACCTTCTGTGATGTTCTTCAAGCTTTGAGTGTCTTACCTATATTCCAGGGGGGCATCTTTCCTCGCCCATCTCCTTGTTTTCCCTTTCTATCAAGCTCCTGGGAATGCAGAGTGTGCTCAAGGTAGTTCAAGTAACTATTTCTCGCTTTCTATTCAACCGTTTCATGAACTCATAACTGTTGTTTTTAAAGTTTTAATTTCGTTTTTGTCATGTAGGCTTACTGCATGGGGGTGCACCCCTTGCAACCACATTTAGTCGCAAGTGGAACCAATTTTGGGGTCATACTCAGTGAGTTTGACCCAAGAGCTCTGCCAGCTGCTGTCTCTCTTATCACTCCACCTGGCAGTAAAGAACATTCTGTCGCATTCGCTGTTGAGAAGGAGATTCGATTGTTAACCTTCCAGCTTGCAGCACCAACAAACCCTACTGTATCAAACACTGGTGTTCTAATTGAGCTTAATGGTCGCCCACGGAATGAAACGCCAGAGGCACCACCGATGCAGGTTTAGTCGGTTTGAAAATGTTTGTTTGAGACTATTTTCTGATCGCACTCTTTATTAGAAATGTCTCTGTTGATGTTTATATCCAGAATTTAGTTTAATCAGTTTGAGGTGGAAAGAGTATGTTATAAAGTGAGCTTGTGGGCTGGAGTCGGAGGATGTGTATGAATGAACAACCTCCTAATTCTTTCGGTTAGCTTGGCCTCGCTGAGATCACTGTCAATATTTAGTTGAATATGCACTTCTGAGTGCCTACTGATCCAACCGTGATAACCAATGCAGGTCAAGCAGAGCCGTAAGCGTGTGACAAGTGCAAGTCACGATTCATATTCTGTCCTATCTACTAGTTATTCTGGAAAGTGAGTGCGTTATTTTATCACGTGTCCTTTGGTCGACCGTCCACAATCTCAACCTGCCATCCACTTGAGATAACTTGGACAAGCTTAACAGCTGGCTTATTTCTGGGAATTATTCTACTCATATGGTGTAGATAATTTAATTCAGCAACTGGAAGCTGCTGCTCATCAAACAATCTCATATTGACTGAGCTAAATCTTTGTCTGTGGATGACAGATACGTATCAGTTGTGTGGCCAGATGCTTCATCCTACGCTGTCTATAGAACCACTGATTGGCAGCTGATTGACTCTGGGTCTGCTCGTCATTTTGCATGGGACACGTGCAAAGAACGGTTTGCGCTGATTGAATCTTCTCCAGTTCCTAGGCCACCTCCACCTCCTAAAGGTGGATCTTCAAGGAGAGCTAAAGAAGCAGCTGCAGCAGCTGCTCAGGCTCAAGCTGCTGCGGCGGCAGCTGCTGCTGCAGCTACTGTGCAGATCCGCATCATCTTCGACGACGGGAGTGTGAATCTTCTGACTAAATCCATCGAAAAGCGATCTGAACCAGTCAGTTTACACCCACCTTGTCGTACTCACTGGATTAGATATTCATGGTGTTGACCTTGATCGTTGGAAATGATGTTATTGTGTATCTAACATGCTTCGCTTCAAGTTGCATAGCTGTGTTCTGAATCCTGGTTTTTCACCAGGTCACTGGATTACAAGGAGGTGCCTTGCTGGGCGTTTCATATAAAATGCCGAGGCGGACGAGTACTGCGAACTTGGGACTTTCAGCTGCAGCTACAGGACCAAGTGGCACCTTTGAGGATACTGGCACTACCGCTACGAAAATCACTGAAGCGCCATCTAACTATCAATTGTACAGGTATACTCTGGCAGCTATCACATTATCTGCAAGTGCAGATCATTTTGAGGAGCATAATGTTCCTCATCCATTTTGATGCTTGTTGGGCTTCTGCAGTGTGCTTCAAGTCATGGTTGCCATGGCTTGCCTAGGAGCCGAATATCTTTCCTGGTCTCAATTTCTGTATTTGGCTGCTCCTCCCTTCCTACGGCTCCCTTTCTTCTGGGTTCTTTCTTCTTGCTAATCGCTACTTTCTGTTGAGTCTGTTTGGCAAGCAACTATATGCTCGTCAAGTGAATCTCACTTTTTGAACCATTTATTTTCTTTGACGCATTCTAATTGCTAGCTTGTAGATGTGAATCATGATTGAGCTGCTCAAGATAGGATGGTGTGGGAATTTTCTTTATTTGCAGCTGGGAGACTTTCAAGCCTGTCAGTGGAATGTTGCCGCAACCAGAGTGGAGTGTTTGGGATCAGACAGTAGAGTACTGCGCACTTGCTTATCAGAGATACATCGTCATTGCGTCTTTGCGCCCGCAATTTCAGTACCTAGGAAATGTGGCAATTGGAGCTGCAACAGGTGGTGTGTGGCACCGTCGCCAGCTCTTTTTAGCTACACCCACAACTATTGAGTGAGCACCTTCTGACATGCCTTGTTAAGCCTTTATGCTGTATTGTTGGCTACGTGCTTGGTAATTGATTGGTTGATTTTTGTGAATTCTGACTTGAATGGTGTGGCAGGTGTGTTTTTGTGGATGCGGGAGTGAGTGCCCTTGATCTTGAAAGAAAAAGGAAGAAGGCAGAGGAGAAGGCCATGCGGGCTCAAGCAAGTGTCACTAATAATGAGTTGGCACTGCTAACTGTTGAGGGACCCAAAGCAGTCAGTATTATGGACAGGCTGGCTTTGCGGCCTCCCATGTTACAGGTGGTGAGGCTAGCTTCTTTCCAAACTGCTCCCTCAGTACCCCCTTTTGTGTCGATGGCGAAGATACAAAAAGGTGATGGAGAAGCGCCCAACCCTCTGAAGGATTTGGAAGGAGGTAGAGTGAATAATGAACCTGTCGTGGCCGGAGGGGGTGTTAATGTCGCAGTTTCCAGGCTGCCCCCGGAGCAGAAACGTCCAGTTGGGCCTCTTGTGGTGGTGGGTGTCAAGGATGGTGTTCTTTGGCTAGTTGACAGGTATTAATTAATTATATCTAATGTAAAGTGGCCAAGTCCTCATTGTATCATGCAAATTCTGTGGTGGATCCTGGCTTGGGCTCTTACTGCTATATTCGTCAGTCATCAAGCAGACAGACGTGATTACGTTACAGGCATGAAAATCAAGTGAAGTATGTCTTAATTGAGATGTTAGGTTCTTGTTACTTTCATACACCAGTTCACTCTCATTCTGATTTGTCTGAAAGCGGTGTCGAATATTCTGTATTGATGTGCACGGTGGTCTGAACACTGATCGGATTTTCAGAAATTCAACGTTTTAGTATTCTTGCAGACGCTTGACGAAAATGTACAATAGTTTAATGATAAATCTGAATTTCTGCTCACTTATGAACAGGTATATAATAGCTCACGCGATAGCTTTGAGTCATCCAGGAATTCGATGTCGATGCTTAGCTGCATATGGAGATGCCGTTAGCGCTGTGAAGTGGTAAGATATTTGCAGTGCGAATTCGGTTTCTTGGTAATGTTATTCAACAAATTTTCTTTGAAGACATTTGTTACCATTATTCCCTGCTTTTTTGAATCTGGTATATAATGTATTGAGCTTGTGGAGCTTATTACGTGCTCCCTGCGTGCTGATGGAATGAGATTTTGTGCTATTGAATGACAGGGCTGCTAGGCTAGGTAGAGAGCACCATGATGATTTGGCATATTTCATGGTTGGGATGGGTTACGCTAAAGAAGCTCTTCATCTGCCGGGGATTTCTAAGAGGTAACCAAGTTATCCTCTTACGGCTTCAACACGCACATTTCTCTTTGATTTCGTACTGTTTCACATATTGATATTAGCATGCCCTTTTACGATTTGAATTTGGAATGCAGTAGGAAAGTGATGTTTGGTTATCCATTGATGCAAACTGCTCATATGACATGCTGGAAAGGAATTTTGAATTTTAAATATTTTGTGGCTTAGCATCTCAACTTACAGGTTCCTCCATTTCATTGGTACGAGTTTGAAGTCATATTCCTACTAAGTTCTCATTTTCTTCTGTATTGTCGTTCACTCTGCCCAGATTAGAGTTTGATCTTGCCATGCAAAGTGGGGACCTGAAACGAGCATTGCAGACGCTCATAATTTTGAGCAGCAGCCGAAGTATTGGGCAGGATATTGATTTGAGCACAGAAGGAATAGGTGTTCTCTCTCTTACGGCCACTCAAGAGGCCAAGGCTGAGGCAGTTTTTGGGGTGGTGAAATTTGCTCGAGAATTCCTAGATTTGATTGACGCTGCTGATGCCACTGCACAAGCTGACATTGCTGGACAAGCATTGAAAAGATTGGCAGCTGCTGGAGCAGTGGAAGGAGCACTTCAATCAAAGGAGCTACGAGGACTTTCACTCCGTCTCGCAATTCATGGCGAAATGACAAGATTGGCTGTATGCTCTTCACACTGAATAACTAGGAGCTTAGATTGTGGTTAGCATGGAGATACTTCTGCTTTGAGTTCTTCCTCGTCCATTTATTTTTAGTTGTGATTTATGAGCCTTTTATCAAGACCTTCACTTCTGCTTAACCTTCAGCCGAAATTTGGCGCAATTTTCTTTTTGTAACTCATTACCTGTGCTTTGCGCCTTGTGTTTGATGTTTGCAGGTGCAAGTGAACACTATGTTGTCTGCTGGACAGGGACGAGAAGGGGCACTAGCAGCCGCTCTCTTGAATGATCCCAACCTCATGGAAAAGTCTTGGCTGGACACTGGCATGTTCGCTGAGGCTGCTCTTCATGCTCATGTAAGTACTCGCATGTTATTTCAAAAGGAAGTTTTAATTATACTTGGGACCGTCACAGGGTCACTAAATCACATATCCAATACTCATATAATTATCAGGCTAATACTGATCGCAACCTAAGCATATTTACTTCTTGAGATGCGAAAATTTTCAGCTGCGTCCTTCCAACCGAAGGGAATTGTATGTCACTGGATTTACTGAAAACCAATAGCCTTGTCTACTAGTAGTATCTTGCTGGACTCAAATAGATAAAGCTTATGACAGTGCCTTTTTAAATCTGTATCTCACATTGTCACAATTTTTCTGTACAGTCAAATGGAAGGCCATCGTTTAAGACAATCATGCAACAGTGGAACAAGGTCCTTCAGAAACAACATGGAGCTGGTGATGTAGCAAAACCCAAGCCACTAAATCTCACTCCTGTTTCGGGAGCAGATCTCCTCGCACCAGTGGAAGCACCCTTGCCTACTCCAGACAAAAACAGCACTGTGCCTGGCTTGGTTACTCCACAACAGCCAACCAAAGAGCCAATTATTGAGATTGTTGCTCCTCCTAGTGTATTAACATCTGGACTTAAGGTAGCGGCACCGCCTTCTAAACCGAATGCAGGTCTCCTTCCAGGTCCAGGAATGCCTCCAGGAATGGTACAAAATGCCTTGCCAGCTCCAGGAATGCCTCCAGGACTGGCACAGAACGCCTCGCCAGCTCCAGGTCAGCAACTTGCTATTGAAGGTCCCCAACCACCAGCTCAACCTGGACAGCAACTTATGATTGAAGGACCCCCAGCCGCTGGGGCTCCAACACCTTACCAAGTGCTTGGAAACGAGCTGGTTCCAGTGACACCAGCTACGCCAGTCTCCTTTCCCGGTTCCCAAGTGTCCTTTGAAGGCCAGCTTTTAGGAGTTGCTCCTCAACCATTACAAGATCCCTTACCTCCTCTAGCCTTCCAATCAGGACTTCCACCTTCATCTGGAGGCCAACTTGTGCAACCCCCTATGAATGGCTTTGAAGCCCTGGGGATGACTTCTTTTGTTGCCAAGTCGCAACCTGTTGCAGATTTCTCAGATCTAGACGGATTCAAGGCCTTGAAACCCCCAACTTCTGGTATTGGTTCCCAGCCGATCGGAGACTTCTTCTCTTCTGGTGTTGGTTCTCAGCCGATTGGCACTGGCATGCGTTCATCTTCTTCAGCTTCTGCTCTGATGGATCTCTCTCCATCTCCTCCTACCTCTGCAGTACCACCTCGGGCTGGAACTCCACCACCAGCTAATGGTAGCAATGAGTTGATATCTCTAACTTGATAAATACTTTTGATGCAACCAGTTTGGATTTAAATCTCTTGCGATTCTTCTGCAGTTGAGTCACTTCTGTAGATCTAGTATAGATAGTGATTCCTTTGATGATTATATTGTAGGAGCTGTGGAATAGATTAATGATAATGCAAATTTACTCGCACATGCTTTTTTTCTTGAAGAAAGTGAAAACAAATAAAACCTGTCATCAAGGCCGTGGTATTTTCCCGTTTAAATGCTCATTCCCACTTTTCCTTAAATAATCTTGAATAGCTCCGGCACAATCCCCATTGTTAATTTGAACACGAAAGAGGATGACTATCTCCACCTATGGCCAGTCACTAAAATATTTCGATCAAATTATATCATTTTCTGCTGGTGCATCAGCGTCTACGGAAAATATCATCGAAATCACATTCCAAGAGATTTCAACTCGAAACTAAAAATGTCCAAGTATAATGTCTTCAATCCTTTACCTTTACCGACAATAAAGGTTGATTGTTTCACACCAAAGATATCTTTCAAGACTGACATGTCTTTATCTACTCATCGGTGAGCGAATTCAAGGCTCCAGTTCGATAGGAGTTATCGCACCGCATCTCCCATCTTTGTAATGGTCAATGGAGAATCCACCCTGTTTGCTGTTCAAAAAAAATTCCTCGATGACAATGCAGCAACTTGCAGCCACCAATTCTCCGCAGCAACACAATAGCCAAGGGCGTGTCCTAGCCACCTAAGGAAACAAGAAGACGCCAATGCAGACTACCTAGTCGAAGTCAAAGATTACCACTAACATCTCGAGTTCGGATGGGATCAGGAAGCAGTATATATACACACACGTGCAAATGTATATAAATATCCATGTACCCACAAGGCTCTACCATACAAAATCCAGCGAAGAACAAATACCACATACCACCGCTCCAATTCAAAGAAGGCATCACATTTCTAGAGGTGCCAGATAGTCGTTGCCAGATTGATACCATGACGGAAGAGATGCCGTCAGTCACCAAAATATTCCCTTTCTTTCTCGGTGACCACTTTGTAAACATGCCATCTCAGCAAAATGAGTCTGTGCAGTAGAAAGAAACCCATGAGAACAGAAGGATGTCACACAAATTGAAGGAATCGGTTATGTTGAGCATTTTGCAAATTTCATGTGGCTGTGCATCGTCCGACTAATATTAGCAGTGGGCTGCCTCATACTGGGCCAGTGATAGTTTGCATGCTATTAGGGAGTAGAGTACACCTTTGGGCAGTATTGTTTTTTGAAACTTTCAAGGATAGAAAGGGCAGGAATGAAAAGGTGGAGCTTTCGTTCTAGCTGTCTCCGTTGCAACGAGGTACCTTCAGTTATCTCAATTGGGTTGAAATTATGTGGAGCTTCACTGCAAACAAAATGGACAATAGTAACAATCCTAGCCATTACAGATTTCTCTGGGACTTATAATTATTGCAGTGTATCACAATTTTTAGCAAAGTACGTGTGTTTTCTTAATACAAATCCAGTTTGTCTAAAAAGTCAACAAGTTCCAATATACACAGTACACGGTTATTTGAAATCAACACAAGGCGTTTCAAAGAAGATCTTTTTCATACGTCACAATGAAACTTGATAACGAACAGTGTTAAAAGTGAAGATACAGCAAGATTTTAGAAGGTTGATTTCATTTTGGGATCTTTACCGACTAACAAATATTCTATTTAAGGAATTTGGATATTAATACAACAGCCTGTTTCAGAGAAAAACAAACAGAAACTGGAGGTCGTGTGGGCAGAATTATATTGAAGTTAACATACATGTACTCATCTTTATCACATTCGTTAATTTTGCACAGTTTTCAGCTTTGGAATCGCAAAATCAAGCAAAAAATAAAATAAAATAAGAAGTGCAGGCGTGTCCAGCATCGTAAGTACCTCCCACAATGACAACCCTATGAAATCAGTGGTAAAGGAAACAAGGGAACCCATGAGTAAACCTAAAATGGGTCCTTGACGACGGGACACTGCGTGCATGCTCCGCCCATCAGCAGTTGTCCCCTCCGCAAATTCGAGCGGCGCTTCCTCACGAGGATTTTGCGCAGTATGAGGGTTTCCAGAAGACTTGTCTGTAGAAATGGAAACTGCCAGGAAGCAAGCAGGGACTCGAAAAAAGAATCCATTCACAAATGGCTTTTGTACATGTGGGACAAATAAAATAGTACAGGAACATTTGCTTTATTTTACTACATATCTCGTGTATAAGTAGATAACTAAACTGACAACGGGAAGCTGTAACAACGTGTCAGAAAGTAGTCTGCAGACGCTATAATGGTATAAAAACAATCATAACTCAACAAGTTACGTGATATTTACAGAAGACTTGTCTGTATCAGTTATGTGATGTTTATTTTTGGAATAGATACAATGTTCTGTTTGATTTTTTATTGAACTATTGTCGAAACTACCTCGAGATGATGTGTTAAGCATTTCTTTATGTTTATTTATTTGTTTTATTGTATTGTTTGTTGATAATTGAGGTCAACAAAATCCTTTCTATTCTACTCATTTGTTCATAATCTACTTAACAAAAAAACTTATAATTACTGTTGGTAGATTATGTTTCTTAACAGCTAACCTGCTCTATCACGGTTAAGAGATTGATGTCATAATTAGTGTTCATCTAACAATCCGGATGGGTGACCCAACAGTATATGACGATTGGAAGCATTGCCAAATTAAAAACTATTAATATCATTATCGTAAAGAGGATCAAGCTAATGATGTACCAAAGGACTTACAAGGTCAGGTGATCAAAGCAATATCTGCTGTAAGATTACCAGCATGGATGCTGTGAATAATCAACAAGCAACGAAGATTCAGAGCTGCTCCAAGCAGGTAGTAGAAGCGGCAGTGACTCGTCGAAGAGGACATGCAACAGCTGCTCCAATTTCCTCTTTAGTTAGTTTCGCCCCAAAAAATGATGTACCGCGTTCCGCATGCCACGATGTGCACAAACTAGCGAATCTGAGCTCAACCAGGACAATATCAGAATATAAAAGTCTCTACATTCTGTCTACTGCCAGATCCTCTAGCGAATTTCCGTCATTGACAGACGAGTAAATAAATGATTGATGAAGTAGAGCAACCTACGTAGGGCAAAAAGTGGTTTTCTTCTGAACCAGAGACCTCAAATCTCAACACTACTCATTAGAACGTTGACGACGCTGAAGCAGATACAAAGACTGCCACGTACAGCGTATAACATAGTAGTAATCTACAACCTCGGCGAGAGACACTGAAACACTCGACCTGTTGCAGAAAACGCAGTTGGTGGCAACGATTCTGGTTTCAGAGAACTTACACTGGGCGCAATTGCCTTGATTATACAATGAAGCGACGGACCCTTTGAATGTCTACATACACGTCGATTTTATACCAGGAGTTGCAAAGACTGGAAGTAGTAATCGCCATTCAAGAATTCTCCAGCACACAACATCCAATTGTTGCCCTAAAATAGAAAATATGCCCAAAACGCCACGCTTAAGGAAATGTTACAAGATTCAGGGGCTTTTCCTTCCCAACACTTTGAAAACAATCGCCAAATCTCTCACCGTGAAAGAAGGGAGTTCTCAAATAAGTTGATTCCTAATTACAGGCAAGATTGATCGGTAGGAATTCTTACTACGGAATCACGATAAACGAGCCTCGAGGAGCAGCCTCGCGATGGATGTGAACAAATCACAGCATTGTAGCACTGGGCTCTACACGTGTTATATGAGACCGGAGTGATCGATGTGTGGTCGAGGAAAGGCGACGGCGGCAAAGCCATTATTTGCAAAGAGCCAAAGCAACCAGGAACCCTGTTGAGCTATTCCAGCGCGCGGTGGTCACCCAATTCTACAACACAAGCCCCCAACTAATAAACCGTGCGCCTCATCGCGCAGCTGCCTATGCTGCTGCACAACCTGCAGCCGCGTCTGCACGTAATGATGAAACGAGTCACCATCTGCACGTACCAATCTCGGGTAATTCCACTCCCATTTCATGCTCCTTCGATGATGGTGTTCTTGTATCCGAAGCCACAGCCATCACAATTCTCTCCAACGACAACAGCGAAGTTTCGTCCACGATCCCAGTCATCAACCCAAGTTCGACCATGCCATCAACAGACGCGGGTCTCAATACTCCGTCAGGGGAATATCGTTCAGAAAGGACCAAACGGATAGCAGACGCAACAACCGCAGTGAAAGGAGCGCGGCATTAGACTAAAGTAAGTTTAAACCCACTACAGAACGTTCTAGTTACGCCCTGTTTTCGCTAGCGCTTCATTTCTCCAACGCGGCGCCGAGCCAATCGATTGGTTGCTCTCCGGATCTTCGTTGTCCTCGCATATACGCGTTACATATGTGCTCTCTGTCGAGACTCTAGGGTGTATTTGCTTTATTCGTGTCCGGTCTGTGCGCTTGAGGCCGTTGGTGAAGTTGTTGAGGGTGTGTTTTTTTGGGCTTTTTTTCCTCGTCTGCGGAGTCTGAGGCTCCGGTTGGTTTCAGGTGATGGTGGCCCTTGTTTAGGGTAAGAGAATTGTAGTCGAGAGGATTTCGTGTGTGTGCCAAGAGGTTGAGTGACAGACGGAGGCGGCTAAGGAGCGATGGCGAATTCAAAGAACAAGGACATTTTCGAGGCGCGGAAGCATTTGCCGAACGTTTGGCATTCCCAGCTTATGCGTACGCCCGTGGATGCCCCGGCTTATTGTTGCTATGCAATGTGGTGCCCATGCCTCGTAGCTTACCAGCAACGAGAACGTGTGCTCTACGGTGACTGGTCGCGATACCAGTGCTGTGGAGGAGGCATGCCCTGCAGCGGCTCTTGTGGAGAATCGAAATGTCCGCAGTTCTGCGCCTGTGTGGAGGTTACCTTGTGCTTTACCATGGCTGTGTCAGCGACACGGTTCATGTTGCAGGATGCGCTCCAGATCCAGAACACGAAATGCGATAACTGCATCATTGCTACTATGTTTATCGCACAGTACCTTAGCTGCATTTGCTGGATCGTTGCTATGTTTACCGATATCCCCTTCCTTGATGACGCTGCCGTCGTCACCGACCGCATCGCCGACATAGCTTATTGCACCGTGTGTGCTTGCATTCAGACGCAGCACAAGATGGAGATGGACAAGAGAGATGGACTAATTCAACCTCGTATGGTTGTTCCTCCTCCTCAACAAGAGATGTCTAGGTATTAAATTTGTTTTCGCATATGAGGCGAGCAGCACCGACAAGCATCGCTCCGGAAGTCCCAATCTCGTCATCAGGATACTATCATTGCTACTCACCGATCCGCAGCCCGAGTGGCTTCTCACATCTGTAGTCGTTATGTCGGTTAATGGATTTTTTGGTGGCAAGCTCATCCCATAAGATGTTCCATATATCTGATCTGTTGTTTTCAAATGCAGAAGGTTTCATCGCATTCCACGTTATTTGAGTAGGCCGATAGTGGCAACGTGTGAGGCTGGCATTATTGGCCACTTGGTGTGTGGATATCTTAGTTCGATCTTCTTGTCGGTAGCGGGCATATGCCTGTATGTATTAAAATAATCGGTTCATAGATGTAACCAGAAGCAAATTTTATAGAAGTTTTTTTCTCTCTACACCGATTCATTCCATATTTCTATTGCCCGATAGATCTCGTTTTTTTGTTTTTGTTTTTCCTGCTGTTGTAGTATTACTCAGAGTGATGTCTGGTGCTTTTGATTTGCTCATTTTGTTGCAAGTGGGTCTCAACGTTAAGTATCCATTTTCCAATGTTTTCCTTTTTGACCTTTGGATATATCCACAGTATGTGAGAAGAAAGTGCCCGAAAAAACGCTGCCTTATGACATGGAGTACCAGATGGAAGCCAGCAATCTCATTTAGAGCTCTTTAAAGACTCAGCGAATGATTACAGTCTGAGTATTTCATGTAGTTAAGGAGGTTCTTCAAACCGAGGTACCTAGCTCTCCTGAGTTTCAATTTATGTCCCATAAAGGACATCAGATCCACTCAGTGCTTGGATAGAGTTGTAATGAGGTGTACGTCTGAATACAGTTATCGGTTTTAGTAACTCCCAGTTGTCGTTTGAATAGAAGAGGCGCACAGGAACAGGTAAAGTTCAACTTTGGCCTTTCCCAATCTCAGACTTCTTCTTCATCTTCTTAGTTTCGAGAGTGACGTTTCTACTGAATCCTATTACTGACGCATGTTGATGTCAGCTCTGGAAATCTCCAGCATATGAGATCCCTGGCGTATTGTTGGAACTCATGTTCCTCCCTTTGGAGAGTGCATCGGTACTGATGTGGCATGCTGACCTTAATGCACTACATGTAGCCCTCCTTCCTTTCTTACATCGTGATAGTTTTGTCAACTGACGAAGACATAACAACTGCACGCATCAACTCTAAATCAGAAGTTCAGAAAACTTAGATGCTTCTCAGCCTGCTAGGCATTCCTCTGTCCAGCGAAATTCAGGTAGAATTGCAATTTGTCCATATGCGTTTGCAACTGTATATTTGTGGTGTTTCTTAGGGTTTATAGCTCGTATTTTTAAACTGATCACATCTTTCTCCTGCCTTGTTGGAGTTTTGTATTCAAGTTATATTATCCACGAAGCCAGATCATGTCATCAGTGCTCTGTATTTTAGTTTCTTTACTCTTCTCGAGCTGGCAGACCACTCCATACAGGTTTTGAGATTTTCATAACCTCTGAATTCACCGATGAGCAACAGGATTGGAAATTTTGGGAGTTAAATCATTTGCGAGGGTATATAAGGAGAGAATGTCGTCGTTCATTACTGATTTCGTCATCACTCACGAGCTCACTCAATTCCCAACGTTGTAAACTGCCACAGTTCCGAAGACGTGAAGCATTTCTTCACAGTTCTTTAATCATGATCTGCTTGCTTAGAATCTTCAAAATTTTAGTTGATGTGCAAGCATTTGTACATCAGATGATTTAGTTGTGCATGAAACGACAGCAGTTCCCAAGGTTTTCCGAGCCATGTCTCGCCTTCATGTCATGACTCTTTTTGGGGTTAATAGACGACCAATTTTCCTCTGTTTGATTGATACTTGAGTTACGTCGAGAGATTTCGCGTTTGAAGTTCTGTTCACATCACTCCACTCTAAGCTTGCTCTTCCACTTGATGAATCCAATAGTTTGTCCACCGACACTCTCCTAGGTTGCCTACGCTCAGGCTTCACTTATAATTTTCTGGCCCAATTTTCTTGTAGTAATGATAGAAATGAAAAGCTAGATCGACAAATCTGCTAGCCTTGACTTCTTTGGTTTCCCATACTCGGAGGTGAAGACTGTTCATAATCTTTATAACATTGTGATGCAGTTGAGACAGCTTCTGGATGGGAAAAATCACTTGTTTGGCAAGTCATGGTGTACAGCTTCTTACTCCCCATGACCCTACAGAGCGCACGAAGGAAGATAAACGTTGTGTTTTTAATAAAAAGATTCAGCTCACTACATGCCTGATTGACTATCCGAAAAACCTCGAACTATTTCACAAGTTTCTGCAAGATGACGAAAGAGTGATGCAACATGAAGGGTACCACTGAAGATGTTCACGAGACCGAGCCTGCTTTGAGTGCAACTAAGTCTCCGACTGTACAGGAGATGGAGCAAAGAAAAAGTAAGAGTAATCAAGAGCGCAACATACGAGACGTAGTGTCATCCTTGGCTAAAGCTCTGAAAGACGCTCGGGATCAACTGGTAGTCCTCATACAGTACACCAGTGCTTCGGTTGGGCGTGGTAACGCATTCAGAAACAGTAAAGCGTTTTGCTATGGGAAGGAAAAAGTCTACAATCGGAGAGTGAAGATGACCTACCCCCAGGGTAACAACGCCCTCCCTATGCGGTATTGTGGTGGTGGTGGTGGTAGTGGTAGTGGTGATGGTAGTGGTGGCTCAGTCTTACGTGAGCAGACGTTGGGCAACGTGCATCGCGAGCATGCACGTGGTCATCTTGCATTTGGAGTCCACTCGGAGTTCAAACCTGTTCCCCCTAAGTATTATGTGAAACAACCAACGAAGGTTCCCTCAAACTGCTCTGATTTAACTCGCAGTAATCCTTACGCTGGGAAGAGAGGACCGCACTTGGGGATAGATGTGGATGCTAAACCTAACTCCTTGAAAATCAACATGAAGGAGGGTCGTAGCGATCTCATGAGCATTAAATTTTTACCGAGGGCCAAAAGCCCACGATCTTCGTCAAAGACTTGGGGACAGCCTTTTCCCAGTTCCAGGCGTCATTGTGAAGGCGACCAATACGCAGCCACGTTGAAGCAGGAAGCCATGGAGATTCGACAGCAAAGACGTGCCGAGGAAGGCAGAGACCCGAGTTCGAGAGCACAGACTAGAGAAGGAAGGCGGAGAAGCTGATTTTCAACTGACATTGAGGAGCATAGTTCGGGGCATTTTGATTCCGCACTCCGGGTGTTTTCAACCTGCACGGGGCTCCAGCTCTACTCACTGTCGACCAATAGGAAGATTGATTGAAGTTTTTAGGGCTTGTCCACGTTGGTTTTGACAATTGAATGAGCAGCTTTGAATATTTCTGAGGCAAGAAGTTTGAGGAGGAGCATTAGAATTCACACAGGCGCACAATGGTAATGAATTCCGCATTGCACACATTAAATAAATTTAGTTAGACATACCCAGTGCGTGCATAAACCCTAGAAGGATTAGATGGTTCAAAACAGAGGTCAAAAAGGCTTCAAGTCCCTTCCGAAGCGTATAGCACTAGGGGACTAGAATGATAGAACTGGAAGCTCTCTTTTACAACTTGAGGAATATATCTAAATTTCTTCTGAGGATGTGCGCTTCCAATCTAAGCACTACGCGCCCGATCAAAGCACCATGGCATCACCAGTTGCACCCAGTAACCTCTGCGCATAGAAATTATTAACAAGGACACCAACTGTTTCTGTGCCTGGTAGTGTTCGCTCACGCAAGTCCAACAAACGGTGAACATGCATTGCACCCTCTGCAGTGTTTCAAGTTAATCCTAACTTGTTCATGGCCCTGGTCAAACTCTGAAATGGTGAGAAGAGTGGCAACCAAAGGTCTGAAAATGAAATCCTGCAAAATTAGTACACAACTGCAGGTGAATTATCAAAAGACCAAGAGAAAACTGCACATAAGACATGACCTCTTAGAACACAAGATGGAAGAAAACAATGAACGAATTGAAATACCAACAGAGGTAGCCATTGGGGAACTTTGTGGCAGTCGAACTATCTGGAAAGGTTTATCAGTATACTCGCAGAAAAATTATCATCAGCCAGAAGTCCGAGGCCTTATTCCTTGCAAAACTCCACCAAGTTCTTCTTAAGTCCTCGGAGAAGCAGCTGCTCTCACCACCCGAAGAATCGCAAACATCTAGGATAAGAGTACTGCTAAGAAGAACAGTGATAAACTAGCAATTTTGCATACTTGCTCAAACACACAAACATGACCCACGAATCTGCTTAATTTCCAATTTGAATGCAAATTAGTTGAATTAGAAGCTCAAAAACAAGCTGCAGGTCATAGGCAACCCAAGAAAGAACTTATGCAATCAAGAAAATAACAAACCAACAAACAATTAAAGGGCAACATTGATCTATCAATGCCGTATTCCGTTTCAGTCTTCACTCACAGTCTGTAACATCTCCCCTCTAAAGCCATTATTGGTGGGGACTTACTGACACTATTTACTGACATAAAAAATAAGAAGTAATTGTTATCAAAGTGTGCACGACAAAAGAAACTAACAGAAGGGAGTATGGCTACTGAGAGGATTCCACCCTGAAACCAGGAACAAAGATTATGAAACATGACCTAATATGCCACAATGCTCAACACAGTGTAGTACAAAGTGAAATTATAGATTATACATTCCACCTATTGTTAACTACAAAATCTCTCTTAATACAATGTAAGTACTATTCAACTCATGCAAAACATTCAAGTGGGGTATAAGAAGAAATCTTTGCAATTGATTTTTGTATACAGATTCACTTGATAGAGATAGACATTGTTTGACAACAAGGGCATTATGCAATGTTTAGTAAAAAGTGGTTGTATGGATGTAGGATTTGACATAGCTAGGGTCAAGTTGGAATAATAGTTTTTGTAATAAAATGATTTTATTTTTTATTTTTTATTTTATTTTGGTTGTATGAATAGATAAAACAATAGAGATCATATTGTATTTGGTTTTTTTTTAAAAAAATATCTAAATATATATATATATATATATATATATATACATACATAGAATAAAAACATAATTGATGGTATTTTAGGCAAATATTATATAAAGTGATATTTTATTAGAAAAAAAGACTTAAACACATATCGAAAAAACAAAACAAGCACTCAAAAGAAGTTTCATGACATGATGATAGAAGCATGCACTAATGAAGATAGAAGAGTTGCCTACACTTAACAAAGATACAATAGAAAGAAGTTCTTCTTAATGAGTATAATTGATGATATTTTGGATTTCTTGAGAGAACAAACTCCTACAAAATAGCTATTAATTCTAATATTGTAACTAACAAAACTCTACATTTATAAAAATAAGCTCTTATCATGTATTTTTTTTGTGGCATATCAACTACTAATTTTTTTTAAAAGCAGCTATAATCTTTGGAGGTTGTCCAATAAATCTTTAATTATAGCTAAAATTATTGACAATAATTTCTTCTATCTATGGATAGACTTAAAAGAAACTATTTAATAACTCCTAATAAGTTTGTTTATTGATCATCCTACAAAATTTATATATTTCAATTTAAGAATTTGTTATTTGAACTTAACACTATATAGAACTTAGATACATCATTTAAATTTGGTATTTCTAAATTTCAACTTAGAACACTTTTAGACATTTTTTAAAAGAATTTAATTTAGTTGATGTGGAAGATGTATTTGATTTTAAAAATGTACTAAGAAATGATACAACTTTTCTTTTCTTTTTTTGTTAAAACCTTAATACTTTGTTACAATTAAATTAGGTATTGGTTGGATGTTCAAAATTTTGTCACAAATTTTTTTACTTAGAATTTCAAAACATATCAAATATTTTATATTCACATAGCAATCAAATGTTGATTTTTTTTGGCAATTTAATATCACATAGAAGAATTTTTGTCTCTATTTAGCTTAAAAATGATCCAAAAATAATATTTTAAGCATAGAAAAAGAATAGGACATAAGTAAAAGTATAGATACAAATAAAAAAAGGTGACAAAAATATAAATGTACAAAACACATTACCATAAAAATCTAAAATTAATAATAGATTTACTTTAATTATAAAACTAATAATAGATTTAATAGCTCAAAGGTATCATTGCTCTGATTTTAAATGACTAGTTTGTTGTTGATTATATGCTGCATCTTTTCTTTTTAGTATAAGTTAAGAAATTTTAAACAAGGCATTTGACAAGCCTTATTTTTTTTTACAAAAACATATAATGTTAAATATAAATTGTGACAAAGTCATGATTCAATGGACTTTGTAGTAATTTAAAACTTGTGTTGACATATAATATCTAAAATTCTTGTAATTAGTTTAAAATATGATTGGATGAGAAGTGCCTTCTAAATAATAATGCCATTCTTTGAATTCAAAATAGCAAGAAAATCTTTGTTGTGGATCTCATAATTAATTTTTAATATTAAAAAATATATTAAATAAAAGTAATAGAATGGAATTTACTGTCTATATGTTTTTGTAATAGAATTGCACATAATATAAAGTTTTATACATCTATTTCCATCAAAAATGGCTTTGAAATTTTTTGGCTATATAAAATAGAAGTTGAAAGAAAAGACCACTTACAAATCTTATAATGATACTTTTGCATCTTTCTTCTATTCTAATTTTTTTTTTGAAGTTAATCAAATAAGTAGAACTTTAAGATTTGTATACTATTATTACATATTTGCCAAGAAACTCTTTCAAATTGTACTTCTAAATGAAGACTATTATAAATTGAAAAACTTTAGGAACTATATATAATGTCAAATATTGTTAATCAAATATAGTTCCTAAAGTTTTTCAATTTATAATAGTCTTCATTTTTTTTTTTAAATATTTACAAACAGTCATTTGAAATAATATACTTCAAAAATTCTACTTGATTTGTATATAGGACAGATTTTCCATCTTTGCATATAATCTTGTATTTCTAAGTTTTTATAATAGAAGGCAAAAATATTATTTATATTTTTTTGTATTCTTAGAATAGATAAAAATATTATCTAAATGACATACAAGAAAATTATCTAAATATTTAAAAATATATATTATATATTAAATGCTAAAAAATAAGTAGAAAATTTTTGAGTGTGAAAGGCATGACATTATACTCTAAATTACCATACTTAATCCAAGATATAGTCTCATATGCATCTCCTTCTATAATACATATCAAATTATAAGCTCTTTGTACGTCTATTTTAGTATAGATCTTAACTTTATTTAATTGATTAAAATTTTTTAATGTTAAAGTTAATGGATATTGATTCTTAATAGCTAATTTGTCAAGTCTACAATAATCTACACACATTTGCAAGGATTCATTTTTTTCTTTAAAAAGAAGATAAATATACTTGTAATAAATTTTGAATGTTGAATGAAATTCTTTTCAATATTTTCATCAATATATTCCTTGAAAGCAACAAGTTTATCCTATAAGTTGTAAATTGGTCTAAATAGTGTTTGAGTTTCTTCTTGAAGATCAATTGCACAAGGTTAGTGTTTTGGCAATACATTAGTATTTTTTTATAATTATATCTTAGTATTTTTTTTAATTTCGTTGAGATTCTATTATAATCTTCATTTAAATAAAGACTTGGTGCTTTAAAAATGACAAATGTATTTCCATCTCCTTTAACTTGTATAAATGCTTTAGTTCTTACAAATAAAAGTTTAGATGATTTGTTATCATTGAAATTAGATCTTAAAATAATCTTCTATAATTTCTATTCAATATTAAGATTACATAATCCAGTTTAAAACATGGTATAGAATCTGATAGTAGTATGAAACTTGTAATTGATGGTCTAGAGTTTTGTAATTCAAAAGTCTTTATTGCAACTACACATCTTTGTTTTGTTTTGTTCCTTTTTTTTTTTTGTTTTTTTCATCTTTGAATGTACATTCTTTACTTCAAATCTTGTTGATTTGATGCAAAATTCTTGTACTTAATAACTTTTTTTTTTTCATAATATAATACAAATTTTTCCAATGGCATCTATTTTTTCTACTAATATCAATTGCTTAAATTTTATTATATCAATTTTTATAGATTTTAGTCTTAATGAATAAATTTTTAAAAATTTGGAAGTTATTATCATGACTAGATTTGTTCTTCTTTAACAAAAATCTATGTCTTAGGCATCTTTCAAAAAGTTGAAAAAGTTGAAAAACATCTTTCAAAAATTTGATTGTCACATATAATTGCTTAAGTAATAATATGTTTTAATAAATTTATTTTATTGATTTTTTATAATAAATCTTTGATATTATCTTTTAACTCATATCAAATTGAGTGATAAGGGCTTCATTATTTCAATCCATATTAAAAGCAAGATTTTGGAATTTTAGAACATAAATAGTAGTTGATTGTAATTATAGTTATAAAAATTAAAATTTTATTTTTACCACCTTTTTTTAATAGATCTCTCCAAATGTAGCCATAAATACTTCCAAGAATGAATTTAGATTATATATGAGCCATGAATCATTTTCCATCAAAGATGCAAATCAAAAAATAATAATATTAGATAAAAATGTACTTATAAATTTAATTTGAATAAATCTATTAGAATATTAAAAAAATATAATCTTAATAGAGCTTGTTTTTTTTAGAAATATTCAAAAAAAAAAAAAAATCCATCAAACTTCTTTGACATAGTAATCTTTACATCCTTCATATTTGTAGTAAAATTTTTAGATACATTGTGAGATTGGTCTATTTGCTTCTCTTAACTCCACAATTTATTAGCATAGACATTAGATCTTATTATTGACTTCTTCCGTAGGCATATAAATAATATTTCTATGGTTGACATTGATAGTATAAGAAACTTTTGTCCTAAGAATATTAACAAGATTGTGAATATTTACAATAGTTGCAAATCTATTTTTACTTCTATGAAATATAATATCTATAATTTTTTTTCTTCTTTCTATCTCTTTAAGAGATGACTTTAACAAATTTATAAGTCAAATTAGAGGATGGTAATCTGCAATCTCTAATATCAAATAAAAATTTCTATAAAAAAATATTTTATTCTATTAAAGAAAAGATTTAATATTAAAAAATAAAAATTATAAGTTTTAAAGTGGATATTCTACAAATTTCAAAATACAATAATAAAAAGTAGAATAATCTAATTACTTTTAAAAAAATCAAATATAACAAATTAGACATAATAGAGCATAAGTAAGACATAAATAAAAGTGAAGAGGCCTTACTTTTGCCTCTATATATACTATCTACTAAAAGACTATATAACAATGTCCTATAGACCATTTGACATATATATAAGTTGCACAACATGCATCTAATTTGTAGGGCAAGTTTTCAGCATGTTTGTGACATGGCCAACTTATAATATAGTTGGCTAAATGTGCAACATGTGGCCAACTTTTTGGTCAATTTTTCAACCTATCAATCACTTATAAACATGTATAAAGTCTTCAAAGCTTCGAAGAAGCTTTCCTACAAGATATTAATAATTTAATCTACTTGTACTTAGTTCTACCTTGTTCAACTTATTTAAGTAAACATACTACTAAAGATGGCTATCTATTACAAAAAATCTTTTTAGATTGTAATTACAATAAACCTATGTTATGTAAATATACCTCCTCTAAAAGAATCTCTTAAGCAAAAATAATTGACATAATGAAAATATTCATCACATAAAAGAACTTCAATAGGAAATTTGAGATTATTTTTTTCTTTTTGATATGTCTAACTTATGATGATGAAAAAAATCTTATTCTATGAATATTTTTTCATCAATAATTATATTTCTTTAATATCAGATTGTATATTTTTTTGTGACATTTTTAGATGGAATATACATGTATTTTATAAATACAAGTTAGGTAATAATATATATCATGGACAAATTATAATATTAGTAAATACTAACATCTTATTTTTAGAAGATCTATTCAATCTACATCTATCCAATGAGATATGTCCAATGTGGATGACAGGAAAAATGATTGAAAGTTGGAGTTCAAGAGTATCTCATAAATGGCATAATTGTGCATGATAAAGAAGAAAGCAAAGATAAACATATTTTAGGCTTAAATGCTCTTACATCCATCTAAACAAGAGTTTTAGGGTATAAGTTGCTAAGATTTGTAATTACTTTCCATATAATCTAAGCGTCCAATACACCCAGTTTTATGTTAAAAAAAAAAAACAAAAATGCACAGATTCACTTGACTGTGGTTATGAGCCCGATAATCAGATGCACGATATTCTCTCCGCATTGAATCTAGTAACAATCTTCACAAATGTGTGAAAAACATTTCGTCGTCATTGTATTTTTACTATTGGTAAAATGGGTTTGTTGAGCAGAGATTGTTTTCAATACGTACAGGAGAAATGCGATTTTCGTTGGTTACTTTTAGATATTTCCAATTAAGAAGGTAATCAGCACTTGAATACTACAGGGCATTGGTCAATGTTCTAATACAATAGTCGATAATTTATTATCAAGCTGTTTATACATTTACTCAGTGAGCCGATTCAGCTGTGCAGTAAACGCAGATTCTTACAATTCAAATTGTGTATTAAGTTTCTCTCAACGATAATTAACACATTGCAGTAATAAATTAATGAAAATATATTGTGAAAAGATATCAGTTATCAGATATCAGAATGTGAAGAACACTCGATCTTGTAAAATATGTTGATGATAGCAAGGGACTTGTCAACCATACAAGAGTGCATACTAGAACAAAAATTCGATAAACTCACTCAAATTGAAAAAAATTATGGTGTGGGTTTCATTGTGTAAAACAAAGCCAGCGGAACTTGTCTCATCTATTCTTCGGCATTACTTGCTACAAAGACCGAACTAAGTCTAGAGTCATATGTAAGTTAAGTTAGGTTGCTACAGAGGTTTGAAAAATGGGATCATATACCCAAAATAAAACACTGAACCTTAGTGGATTGGACTGCTACACCAAAATTCCTCGAAATAGGCATGCAGCACGAAGGATATCCAGCAGCCAATAGACACTGATAAAGGAGGTACCCATCTTACTAAGTGAAAAATTATCTAATCGTCGAAGTGTTAATTCAATCATCGAACCGCATCTTCTTTCCAGCAGGTGCAGATGATCGACCGCCACGGCCTCCTCGGCCGCCGAAGTCACCCCGACCTCTACCACCACCTCTTCCTCCTCTTCCTGGAGACGGGAAATGGACGATTAAGAAGGTGTAGACATAGTTATCAAAGAATTTTCAAGAGATAGAACCAGAGGTGGTATCACAGAATAAAACGAACTCCACTTACCTCTATCACCTCCGCGGCCGCCACCACGTCCACCAAAGCCACGACCACCACCACCACCACGACCGCCTCCTCTACCACCAAAGCCACCTCTGCCCCCTCCACGACCACCAGGAGTTCCTCCGCTGCTAGCCTCGTTCACCACCAAGCTCCTTCCATTATAATCGGATCCATCCATCTCCGTTGCCTTCGACAGTTGATCCTTCGACGAGAACTCGACGTAGGCGAATCTGGAAGACAATATCAAAAGCCTCATGCAAGTAAGCGCATTTCATTGCCTGTAATTTAGCTTTTAGTTTCATAGCCAAGAAACGAACCGAGTAGATTCAAGACCATCAAAACCAGAGGACGCCGCACAAGGTACTGTAACATACCCTTTGATTTCTCCGGATTCACGGTCGGTAGGAATTCGCACATTCAAAACCTCTCCACAGTCACTGAAGAACTCGGTCAATCCACTCCGAATCTGCGAAGTTCCTCAAAACTTTTAGAGTGGTAACATCAGCTGAATCGAGCAATACTTAACAGTAATACTGGGAACTTTGACAGCAGCAGCTTCGTTTACTCGGTGTACACGTACCGAGTCCTCATCTTGGTACTTGTCGAAACCTCTGACGTAAGCGGTCTTGTCGGATCCCGCCCTGCCTGGAGTAGCTCCATTTGCACTGAAATCGAGCATGCTTATTAGACTCCTTATCAGTAGAGGTTGTTACAGAATTTAGATTGCGTATGAACAGGAAACATCTCAAAGCGAAGAGACCACGCCGACAACTTACGCAGCTCCCCCTGGAGTCGATCCCTTCTCACGCGCAAGGTCGCAGAAGATATCCCTGCCTTCAAGGTTTTGTCCACTCTTTTGAAGAGCTTTCTGGGCAGCCTCCTCTGTTTCGAATTCAACATGTCCAAATCCACGTGACCGCCCATTATCATCTTGAGCAATTCTGACATCAGCCACAGTGCCGCAGTCGCTGAAGAATTCAAACCTGCAAAACAGAAAGGGTGTCGAGAATGAGATGAAACTCATGGAATTACAATATTACAAAATTTAGACAGTACCGGTAGTGGATGAAGAAATCATCACTTACACTTTGTCTTGATCAGCGGCCCAAGCCAAATTCTTCACAAATAATGTCTTGCTTCCTCCACCAGATTGCTTCGGAGGGGTCTTCACTGGTACTTCCTCTTCCCGGTTCTCTTCCTCACTGTCGGCGCTGTTGGAGGCTCCGCTATCGTTCATGGGCTGCAAGGTCCAGCAATTATCATCAGGCAAGCGTAGAATTAAAGCCAACACTAGTAAGGCAGTCTCTTTAAATCCGGTTTCAGGCACTCAGATCATGAATCTTTTTCATAATGTGCATCTATATCGCATAGTGTGAAAACATTACATCAGGCATTTCAGTCTGGGTGTGCTGTACAGAATTTCTTGAGGTGCACAAACTCACTACGGCACGATCATAACTACAAGTGTGGTGTTAGGGCAATCAAGTTCCTCAACAGTTAAGATAAATTGACGTAATGCCGACTGAGGAATGTAGGGCACTAGGATCCGGCTTACTTCATCATCCTCGCTGTCATTCTCGCCATTGGTTTCCGTAGGTTTTCCTTTCGCGGCCTTTCCATTGGTGATTTTTGGAAGCACTTCTTCGTCAGACGAAGCGGCCTGGAAAAAGAGCACAACTTAGACGCCATCATAACCCCATACTTTTAGAACAACGAGTATTTACAAAGAACACTAAGTGGCTGCTCTTTTAGACCTTACCTCTTCTTCCTCCGATTCCTCCTCAGATGATTTCTCAACCACTTTCGGCGGAGGTACAGACTTCTTCTGCCCTTTCGACTTCTTCAGTGGAGGAACGCCAGCTCCAGCTTCGACGGCCCTTTTAGTTGTGGCCTTGTCCTCCGCATCCTTCGCGGGTACAACGGCAGTTACCTGAAAAGACAGGTCATGTTCAAGGACATGTATATCTTGAAAGAAGTGCAACAGATTACAAGATAAATACACAGATACGGTTAGAGGTAGAAGACATACAGCAGCAGCTCCTTTCTTCTTAGACTTCCCCATTGCGCAGAAATATCAGAAACCTAAAGGAAGAATTCCTCAAACTGCAAAAACGGATAACAACGAGTCAAAATCCAGACTAACATTCTAGACACCAGAGGCTAATTCACTAAAAATAAAATCAGATTGCCTCAACAGAGTACTGGCTAACTCGACAACATTTCAAGACTTCAAGCAAGCGCCATGAAATCACTCGCATAGAAATTTAAAAAAAATACAGCAATCACTAGACAAGACCAAAAAAAACTAAACACTCAATAAAAATCCAAAGAGACTTCACACAATGTCGTACTCTCACCAGAAAAATTTAAAAACAAAAAAACAAAAAAACGAATCTACAAACAAGAAACCGGACATCGAGAAATGGCCAAAACTAGCAACGGCCGCAGCCAAGCAGACCAAGGCCTAAACGACTAGACACTCGAAATGATCAGCACGCACACTAACAACACGAACCGCAATTTGTGGCTCCACACAACAAAAACAAAGAACATCAAAATAAACAACAAGTACAGAAACGAACGCAGCATGGGGCAGAGAAACTCACGAAAAAGTGAGACGAGCGGCAGCACCAGCAGCAGCACCAGGAGCAATTGAGCCAGCCAGCCAACAGCGTCTGTGGGAGTGGACGCAACAAAGCTACATATGGAGAGCCCGAAGCAGGAACCCGATGGATGCGCGAGGGAGGTAGGGGGGGCGGGGGTGGGGGAGATGCGCAGTGAAAGTCCGGAGGGGAGTCACTCTAACCCGCCATGAGAGAGCCCCGCCCTTCCTCTCTTCTCTGAGGGCTTTTGAGAAAGGGGGCGGCCGCCGCGCTTCATTTACCACGTGGCGCAATACTCAAACTAGGGTTGCCCGTGTGAACCACGAACGGAAATATCTGGTTCCGGTTGCTGATGTGTCAGGCTACTTGGGAACGGGATCTTTTTAGATATATCCGATTTGGCATTTTATCCGTGACGTGGAAAGCTGGCGTGGCGGCTTCCCGCCAAATGCTGGGCTGCTGGCTGCTGTTGCTGCTGCCATTTTGGTGGGGGTATTGAAGTGGTTAATCATGAAAAGAAACAATTCGATGGCCTGTAGAATCTTGTGGATGAATATTCTAAATTTCGTCTTGTAGTATTTGATGTTTGTTTTTACTGAAAATTCATGTCTGTTTGGCACACAACATATCTTCACTCAAGGTGGGTTTCACATTATTCTCCTTTCTTCTAATTTTTATTTTTTGTAAGGAAACTCAAATTTCATTACAACATTCTCAAGACTTAACAATCAATGTCCTGAGTGAAACTTAAAGTTCTACTTTGTTTTTTGTTATAGACCAAATGTTTGTTGAATAAAACAAAAGAAGAGGATTTATTAGAAGCTTTGAAAACTTTGTTACCAAGCAAATACTTTTTAAAAAATATATATTTTCAATAGTTACAATATAATTCTTTTTAAATACAATGTATGCATATTTTTTGTAATTTGTGTAATAATCTTCATGCCTCTTTAAACTAGGGCTTTCCTTGAAATACCTAATTTAGCTTATTTTAGGATTGCAACCAGGTTTTATTTTAGGTAAATTAAAATGGATGAAATTCATCTACCAAATTATCCAAAAACATCCATCTTGATTAAATTTGATAGACTCTATCAAAATATTTAAACATTCTTGAGCGAGAAGTCTGTGAGACATTGCTAATACTCATTCTCCTCTCATCCAATCACAAAGAAGTTGGATTTGATAGTACTTGTGTTAGGAAAAATAGAAGCTAGCTTCCTACAAAAAAATTAAAGTTGTAGAAATTGGCCATTATAATATGCCCATCTAATGTGAAATTTTGTCCACAAATTGGAATATTTGTCAACAATGTCCTTGAGGTCATCTCCTTATGGTAGGTGCGCACCATGGCTTGGTGGTCATTCTCAATATCTTTCATGGATTGAACATTCTATTGAATAAATTCCAACTACAACTTGTGCCAACAGATAGAAATTTTTAATAAAGATATCCATAGTGCATGCAAATCATAGAGCATCACTTTTGAAATGTCCTTCTTACTAATATCATTGTTGCAATTGCATTGGATAACAATAGATGCAATACCATCAATGAACCTAACAAATAAGGCTACCATGTTACAAACCACGGCCTCAACCTCGATTGCAAGCAATAAAGCCATAAGATTCATCACAAAGGTACCTTAATCTTGAATAAAAGCCTCCACACTTGTGACAACCATACACCAAGATTTGCAAACGATTAGATTTGAGGCACCATAAACCATGGCCAAAGTCTCTACATTGTGTCGACCTTATACTTTGTACAAATCTGCTAAAGTTTGAATCAAACCTTTGAGTTGGATTTTTTGTTGATTCAAAAGGATACTTAGTTCTTGCAAGTATGTTATGATAGTGGAGATTACTACCACAATATCATCGACTGTGAGTAGTACCACCGACCAAGAAGGAGGATGAATACATGTGGATAATTTTTGCTAATGATTTTTATAGATCACTATGCATCTTTATTATAAAAACCTATTCAATTTTTTTATAGATGACTATCACAAATCCATAAATTTTGAGCATGTACAATCCATTCTCTTGATGAAATTATACTACTACCAAAGATAAGAAACAAGGCCCCATCAAGATGTTGAAAAATTGGTCATTATATAGTTTGATGTACTTGGCTTAGATTACAAGGTCAAGTTGATACAAAGCACACCACATCTACACAAATCCATTACTAACTACCTCGACCATCCTTGTTACTATCGAGGTAGAGAGAATTTGCCTTAAGAAAGCATTGGACTTTTAGTTATTACTAATTGCTCAATCAAGCCTCAAGATTTAAAAAAAAAAAAAAAAAAAAAAAAAAAACCAATTTTATATATAAAATTGTCCCTACAAAAACAATTAAATCAATACATAAGCTCTAAGTGCCAAAGATCACCAAAAATGGAATAAAAATAATATAAATCCTTATATATCCTTAAGGTGAATTTTTTTCTAACTTCAATAGTTCATATCTCATGATTGGATTGTCCAAATAAACCAAAATTTTATATGAAGTATTGATATACTTCTAACAACTATCACAATATTTTTCAATTGCAAATTTATTATGACTCTTGAGATATTGTAAAAATCCTAATAATAGCTTCAAATCCTTGCTTACATATACCTATGCACAAATTTCTTTATATCTCACAACCTAAATATTCAAATACCATAAAATTTTAATATATAGCTTTTAAACCTAATAACTCACAGTTTTAGAAATTTTGAGCCAAAAATTCATCTTAAAACTTAAGATATGGCTCCAACCATTACTATCAATAAAATGACTCACTTATTGCCTTTGAATTACATATATTGTCTTCAATGCTCTATAACTTCTTCATACTAACTACAAATACATAAATTCATTTACAAAAGATGTAGATTTTCAAATCATCCTTGCGATCGCACCTCTTGATCTCCAAAATCTATCATAAAACTCCTTGTATCCTCAAAATAGCAACAATGTATCTTAAAAAGACATCTTGACTTCAAACGGCTATAATTTCATTACTTTAATTCCAAATCTTCTAAAATTTGTACACAAATTATACTTCAAATCCTAAATCTTACAATCTTTACTTTTCATTCTCAAATGCTCCTTCTAAAATGCCAAAATCCTTGTTATGGTCATAGATAGCCTATTGAATGCCTATTAGACATAGCCTTTGATCAATAGGGATGAAGATCTTTACCTTTGCCTTCATCCATCCATACCTTGCTTTTATCCCTCTAAATAAGTTTTTAAAAGGTTTGGATCTTTATCTTTGAGCCCCAATCTTTTCCTTAAATTATATACTAAATATCTAAATCATATATAATTTAAATACTATAATTAATATAAATAAACTTCAAAATAAATTTTCTTACATCAACTCTCTTTAAATTAATCTACCAACCACTTTAATGTACATCAATATTTATGAATATATTATATATTTAAGTTAATTTTTCTCTACTATAAATAATTTTAATATAATATTGTGACACTAAAAATCCATCCAATCATCATTTACTTATCATCCCTGTTAATTACAATTAGTTGTATCCTCTATTTTGGAACCTGACATCCAAAAAATTTGCACCTACAACAAATATTACTTTGATTATCTTACAATTGAAAAGAAAAATAGTAAGAAGGTAGAGGTTGTAGACCTTCAATTGATATTTGAATGAAACTTTGAAGTCAAGATAAAAAAATACCTTATTTTGAGCCAATATCAAGAATAAGTAAAAACGTCTATTGCATGTGGAGGAGTTGAGTGATTTTTTGTAAGCTCACAACATAGATTACCTTCACAAATAAAGCTATATTATTGTTACTATACTTACTAAAATAGCTTATGTGTAATATAGTCTTTGTCACATCCACAAGACATATTGTCACGGTGTTGCATTGTAATACAATTATATAGTGAAAATATAATGAAAAATGAATTTTTAATTAATATTTAATTATCTTGCTTTCAATCTAAGAATATCATAAGAAAACCTCTACATTATTAGAATTCAATGATAACAATGACGACCTTTTAATCTAAACATTTGGAAGTAAAAGACATATAAATTAATGTGATACATTTTAAACCTCTTACTAAATAAAAAAAGACTTGTCATTGTCAAAAAATAATTATATTTATATTAAGGAAAAGCTAAGCACATTGTGAATGTATGTAGATTATCAAAGACTCAACAAGATTACCATTAAGAATAGGTTTCTTTTATCCTTAATATCTGGACTTCTTGATCAATTAAATCAACGTAAGATTAATACAAAAATAGATTTACGAGGAACATACAACTTAGTCCATATTAAAGAAGGAGATGAATGGAAGATTACATTTCAAGCAAGGTATTGGTATTTTGAATATAATGTCATGCTTTTTGGACTCACAAATATATAAGCTGTTTTTTAACATCTTATGAATGATATTTTTTGTGTGTTTTTAGATAATTTTATTATTTGTTACTTGGACAACATTTTAATCTATTCTAAGAATATAGAAGAGCATAAAATTCATGTTTGTCATGAGTTATAAAAACTTAGAGATGTGGGATTGTACACAAAGTTGAAAAAGTGTGTATTTCACACTATTCAAGTTGACTTCCTAGGATATATCATTTCCAACAAAGGACTTATGATGGATTTGAAGAAGGTTCAAACTATTATAGAAGTTCCAAAAATAGTAAGAGATGTGCAATGCTATTTGGACTTTGTCAATTACTATTGAATTTCCATCAAGAATTTTTCTCATATTGTGACTCTTCTTAAACGTCTTACATGCAAAGACAAACTTAATTGGAACAAAGAAGCTGAATCATCTTTTGAAGCTTTAAAGTTGTCATTTATTTTTAAATCAATCTTATATTACATGGGCTTTTTTAAGGCATTTTTTTATAGAAATAAATGCATCAAATTTTGCTATAAATATTATTTTATCGTAAATAAGAAAAAATGACAAACTCTACCTTGTAGCTTTCCATATTAAAAAATTCTCAATATGCAAGATTAATTATAAGATATATGATAGAGAACTTCTTGTAATCATGGATTCTATTCAAGGATGGCATTATTATTCAGAAGGCACTTTCAATCTAATTATCATATATACAGATCACAAGAACTTCAAATATTTCATATCAATTTGTATTTTGAATCATCGTCATGCTTGTTGGAACATAACTTTGTTCGAAATGATATATCTTGAATTCAAATCTTAATAAAGACATGCTCTAACACATCTTGTACCAAAAGAATCTTGTATCAAAAGAATGAGATGTAACTTTTGATCAACAAAAGATAATTTTATAGAACCCAAATTAATTACATCTTCAAGCAATGAAATCAACATTGATTGTTGATTCAACTTTTTTTAAGCAAATTCAATCAAATATGTCCTTTTGTCTTCTTTTTCATAATATCAAGAATATTTCTTCTAATTCTTATGATATTTGCAAGTTTTAGTTCAAGAATAAGCTACTTTATTTCAAAAGATGTTTATATGTTTCAGTAGGAGAAGTACATTTATGTATTCTTCAAGCATGTTATAACTTTATAGTAATAGGATATTTTGGATATAACAAGACTTTGGAGCTAATATCCAAAGTTTTTTGGTGGTTGCAAAAGTCAAAAGTTATAAAAGACTTTGTTCAATCACATGACATTTGTTCAAGGTCAAAAATTCCTCATCACCGACCTTATGGACTTCTTCAGCCATTACCTATTCCAAAGCAATTATAATCTTCTATTTCTATGGATTTTATTATGCATCTTTTAATCTCAGGTTTGTATGATTTTATATTTGTGATAGTAGATTATTTTATCAAAATGGCACATTTTGTACCATACACAAAATCTATCACAAGTAAAGAAACTGCCAAGCTTTTCTTTGATAATATCTATCGATATCATGGATTGCCAAAAGATATTATATCAGATACGAGGACTCAATTTATATCAAGATTTTGGAGGACCCTTTTTAAGATTCTAAAGGTCGACATAAAACTTTTATTAATCTTTCATCCTCAAACTAATTGACAGATAAAGCACATAAACCAAGTTTTGGAGTAATACTTAAGATATACCATCAATTATCAATAAGTTAATTAGACAACTCTCTTGCCATTGGCAAAGTTTGCTTATAATAATATGATATATTCTTCTATACAGCAAACATTTGTTTTTATAAATTGAAAAAGAATTAAGTTGGATTACCGCAAGCTTAGACCTTTTTCAATTTGTAGATAAATCAATCTAATTGATTATTAATTACATCTACTAAAATCAATAAAAATCCATCTTGTATTCCATGTGTTTCTTTTTGAACTATACAAGACTATGAATATACTAAGAAGAAGAGAAGTCCCATCTCTTCATATAGAAGTAGGCAATAATAAAAAAATTTGAAGTAAAAGAAGTTCTAAACTCAAGCCAATGCTAAAATAAGTTAGAATATGTTGTCCATTGGCATAGATATGATATTAGTGAACACACATGGCAGCCAATAAAAAATCTTACAAATACAGCTGAGAAGGTCAAAGCTTTTCATCAACAACATCTATCAAAACCAAGATAAAAGATAGCAAACCTTTGCTGTAAAAGAAACACAATTCATGAAAGATTGTCTTCTATCTTGTATCCTTATTTGTAATTTTTGTATAACTGTGGCATTAAAGAGATGGAAAATCAACAGCTAGCATATTCAAATTAAAAGCCATTATTTACTAACTTATCAAATGTGAGATTACAATTATCCTAGCCTTTAAGACAACATTATAAAAATGAAGTTCTTCAAAAACAATATGTTCTTTCTTGAATAAATAGCAAGATACAATGAGTTTGATATTACAATCTAAAAAGATTCTTGATATTTGGTGATTTTATTGGACGTAGGCACAACTCTTAATTGTGTTACAAATATTTTATATGAAGGAAGTTACAAAGATTTCAACAATGATCAAATTACATGGTGGTCTTCATGCCTTGAAATGATGCATTACCAATGGCTGAGAGGTCCTATCAACTACTTTTGAAGGGAACAAAGATCAAAGTATGTGGCAAATATGATTTGCTACATCTTAGACTTCCTCAATATATGATCATCTCTACTCATAAAACTCATCCTTAGAAGGGAAGATAATGTCACAAATACATATCTACTATAATTATTACCAAGGTAATACGAATAGATAGAAGTAAATAAAAGTAGTTTAATTTCACAATACCTTCTAGAAAACCTTCTTAAAAGCTTTCTAGACATTGATTTGACTTTACATGTGTTTGTAGTTGATTGGTAGGTTAGAAACTTAGTCAACAAGCTAACCACATACCACATGTGTTGGTAGCTTCGAAAACAAGCTAACTATGTAGCACTCATATAAAAAATTTGCCTTGTAAGTTAAATATGTGTCATACAAAGTCAACACGTTTTTAGAGGTCTTATAGTACATCACCACATAGATCCTAAGTAGATAGTATATATAGAAGCGAGAATAATACCTTCTTCATTCTTATCAATTATGTTATTGTTTCTAGTCTAGATTCAAGAGTCTCTAGTTTTCTTATCTTTTAGCAATAGTCATTCTAGTTTCTTTTTAATACACATATTTTTTTATTACTATTTTGTCACTTTTTTTTTACATGGATTTCAGAAGTTTATACATCTTTTTTCAATTTATGTCCTTGACACATGTTGTTATTTGAAATGAGGCTACATAAGACATGAAGTCCATCATGAGATAGAACAATTTTAAAGAATTGATTTTTATTTTGTATGCTTCACAGTTTAGATCTTGCTCTCTACCAAGCTTAATTTGGTTATTGTTTGCATCTATGAATAACTTAAAAATTGACAATATTCGTTCATAAGTTTAAATGAATTCCTTGTCATCTACATTAAACAATATGTCACCAATAACCACATCTACAATATGCTAATTGATTGTGAATGTGAGTGCCTTCTCAATCTTGAAATGACTTGCAAGGGTGTTTTTAAAATTCACCTAGTCAAAGAACTATTGCTTTGAGACATTTAGGACGGTGTTATACTTTATCCATGCTTTGACATATTGTGACTTTATATGCACCATAATGTTGTCTGCATGGATGGAATTGAAAATGTTTTCACATTTATTGTTTGCTTCTACTTATACCTTGTGAAATTGACTACTTTGTTGCCAAGCTTTTCACAGAATAAGCACCGCGCTGATATAATTCAGTCGGTATTTTCGTCTTGTGGGTTTGGCACAAGGCCAAACTTTGTCTTCCTAGGAGATTTTTCATGGAGGCTATAACTCCTTCATTGTGCATATCTCAACATGACTATTATGATTGCAAATTGATATTTCTTCATATAGATCACATTATGTGGCGCTTCTCCCAATTGTATAGTGGAATATTATTAGGGCCTTATTCTAGGCTATCTTGTTAAGCTTATTCTAAGAAAAATAGTTTTTTTCTTTTTTCTTTTTTTTCTTTTTTTTTTTTGAAAAAATCCCTAATTTAAAGAGGCTTGGTGATCTTCAATTAGAAAATTATATTTTACTAATGACTGCAATAAAAGTATTGTAAATTGAATTGATGAAGATAACATTGTTGGATTCTATGACATGAAACAATATACATATCATAGAAGCATGCAAGTTAATATGATTTGTTTCAATGTCCTTCTCTATATAAAACATATTTAAAATCATCTATCTAATTTTAGATTCGTCTATTACCACAATTTTTTATTTTAAATATTTTAAACAATGTGTAAGATTAATATAAATAATTTGGATCTATTTACAATATTTTTTTCTTCATGAGTGAATATTTGCATAGTATTCTTGAATGAATCATGTATTGTAAATTTACTTTCTATTGTGTATTTATTCAAGTTATCTATCCATATGCATATCATTTGAATATTTGGCTTCTTAGAATTTGAATTTTGATGAAGTTCATAACACTTTTTCATCAATTTTTCACATTGAATAAGATCATTCTTACAAATTCTTAAATATTTTTCAAAAAAATTTGATCTTAATGATAGTGCTTTTTATGGACCAAAATATACATTAAAAAGAATTACTTTAAGATATCAAAGTAAGCTTCTACCATGCAACCATTAATCTTACTTAATTTGAAAACCAATAAAAAATGATTCAAACACTTGAAACTATCTAAATCTTATTGTCAAAAAAGTAAATAATAATAATAATAATAATAATAATGGAAAAAAACTAAACAAAAAAAAAAGCAATTATGCTAAGGGGTCTTTTAGTAATTGGAGGCGAATATCATTCAAGAATAAAAAAATAAAAAAAATGTGCTTGACTTCTGCTACCATCTGTATATCCGCTAGTGCATGTATATATGTAAATAAATGTGCATGGGAAGACCTCTCATTGGCAATAAAATCTCAAAAAATTCTCAAAATCAGGATGTGCTAAACCACCACCAACTCGGTTGCATTCATGTATCCCAATTATGAACAGCTTGAACAATTATGGAATGTAGCCTGTTACCAATGAAAAAGCATAATGCCAAAGACGATACCATTCTTAGCAGGAGGCGACGCCCAGTTATTTAGGAGGACGTCACTGATACATTAGCATATAGCAAAGCAAGCATGAGCAAGACAGGTCCCATTGGCCAGCTGAGTTGTTCAAAATGAGATTCTGCTGTGAAAATAAAATAAAAAAGAAAGAAAGAAGCAGGCTTAACGACAGTCCAACTCACTCATCATGCTGCTAAAACAACCATCTTTTTGTGTTGCAACAAAGCTAGGTGAGATATGGGCTGTCGAGGACGCCATAGCCGGCAGCTACACCACCTTCATCAGAGTCAGACACTTTGCTTCGCACCAAGTGGCCCGCTTGTTTGTTCAGAATTTCCTTCTCCCCATTTCTCAAGTAAGTGCCAAAGATGCCCAATTCAGAGATGATCTTGGATGTTCTGCAGACGCCGTCTCGGACGAGGTAAGAGTCGTGGACTGTAGGGAAGATGCGTTGCATCAGGACGTAAGCTGCCAATTCCTCTTGATTCAGTTTCTTAATCGTTGTTGCAACATCTTTGCCGTAAATGTTGTTTCCTCCTCCCTCTCGCTGCGGCTTCAACACGAACCCTTCGGGTTTCGCAACAGCCTCTTCAAGGATGTGATCGCCGCCATCGTTCTCCAGGCTCCAGAGACCTGCGAAGGACTCTCTCACTTTGGCAATGGCGTCCTTGTCGTGTAAAAACCGCTCCAAAACTCCAGGCTTCGTGAGCTCTTGTTGGATTTTCTTTGCACCGACGAGGTGATAGGAGATGCTTGGCGACTTCACGGCGGTTGACCTTTCCATCAGCAGCCTGACATCCCAATCGCGGTCGGAGACGTAGTCGTCTGGAGAGTACCCTGACCTGAAGTATACTAATGCTATCGGCTGCTCTCCGATCAGCAACGTCCGCTTCTCGTCAAGTTTAGCCTGCGCAGCAACTTCTGCAAAAGTTCTTCGGAACACCTTGGCGCCATACTTCTCATACAGCTTGAAACTGAGCCAGTGCTGGTCATACATATTCGTCTCCTTTGCGTGCACTATCATCAGCACAGCTGCATTAGGATTTCCATATTCCAACCAAGCCTGACCCAGACCTTCCGCAAAATCATTTGCAGCACTGTTTTCTGGTACATTCTCCACGTTGAGACCCAAGTCTTGCCCAAACCGGCCGATAAGATACTTGTGCAGTTGACTTGTCAAAGCGCCGAGTCCTGCAAAGGAGGATGAGATTGTGTTCATCTCCACTTGCAACAGAGCTCCAGTCGCCATGTCCAACATGTAATCACTACGGTGAAGCCCCAGCTGAATGTCCTGTGCGATGCCTTCTGCAAGTATCTGGTCGTAGATGTTCATTAGCTTCGCTGTAAAACTGTCTGCCTTACGTGTATGCGCAAGGCATTCTCGAAGGAAATGACTGTCTTGACTAACACGATCCACGAGGGTGTTGTAGTGAGTGGCAAGCTCAAGAGCTTGCTCAAAAGCTTGTCTTGGAAAGGGTGTCGGTAGCAGAGCTAGCGGCACATGGACCATCCCCACGCCTGGCGAAGTGCCTGACTTCCCATTTGTTTTGTCGCCCACAACTCCTCCATGCAAGCTCGCCCAAACGAGTGCCTCCCGGACGATATCCTCTGTGAGGTCCTTCGTCAACTCCATCGCTAGCGGGCCGATCTTCTGGTCTGCGCTAGCATTCTCTGAGGTAATCTCACCCCCCAAGGTTGCTTCTGTTGCCACCCCTGCACTTCCCCTAGTCCGCGGTCCTCTTCTACCTAGCGTACTCCTTGTACTTGCAACAACACTCCGGCCAAATATGGATATTTCTAATTCCCTTCTGGCTGCTGAAGAAAGATCGGGAAACTCCCCACTGCAGCCATCCCAGAATCCTTCCCTTTCGAACGATTTCGTTTGGTGAGGAACAACATCAAGTGGAGATGAAAACGGAGCCAAGAAGATGTTGGAATGTGGAGATCGTGCAGGAGCAAAGCACAGAGAGCGCCAGGACTGCGTCTGAAGTGCACAAAGGGAAGCCATCAAAATGAGACACACCTGAGGAGTGCCATCAAAATCAGGCCAAGTACAATGGATTACAATTGATGCAGATATCAGATGCACCTGAATCAACAAAGCGCTTCCAACTTCGAATTGAAAAATTTAAACATGCACATGTAAAAATGATGTCTTCGTGTCCTAAAAAGTACCTGAATGTGTCACTAGCTCACAGAATTGACTATCACACTTTTCAGCTCACAGCTACCACTCAAGAAAAATTGCAGTCCATGGACATTAGTATTGTGGTTCACACGAGTACATGTTTCGCAGCTCCTCAAGGTCCAGCTCAAGGAAATTGCAATCTGTCTCATGCAAAGGAATCAACGACACAGTAGGCAGTTAGGGTGGCATCTGAACGAGTGTAAAAGGAAACCCTAGTCGAGAGAGCTTTTGAGTATAAGCATGCCAGTTTTAAGCAATATCTCGTCAGCACAGTGCATTTGCACGCTTTCTCGAGAATGGGACACGGATTAATTGAAAATCCAGATTCCGTCATTCACACCCAAGGCAGTTGCAACCAAGAACCCATCCTCGACGGACCCTAAGAGCTTTCGAACCCTTAGAATTTCCACGACCATTTAAAGCCACCACCACGGACACCCTCGACACGATCACCCCTGTAGATATGACCCCTACTGTCGTTCCCGACCATAAGAATGTTCTAAGACAGAGCTCAATTCTAAACTTCTCCATTCAGGCAGTAACGAACCCATTCAACACAAATTCACATTGTGTTGGTTTGCACAGCGACACAATGTATAAATAATAATAATAATAATAATAACTGGACATCTAAAGACTAGCATTCCCGGGCTACGAAAACAGAATAGGAGAGAGGTACACGCATGGATTGCACGAACGTTACTTTCACAAGTCGAAGGATTCAGGAGTAAAAGAAGAAGCACATCTCCAGTGAAGCCCAAGAGAGAGTTCCTCCGTCTTCGAAGTATCTGCAAATCGAAAGCTCAGGACTTGAAGCACTAAAACCCACCCAAGATTGCAGAAGCCTCCTCCATTAGTACAACCACAGGAGTAGCATGTAAAGTGTTTCCGTGGAGAGTTCGGACGAAGGAGAACCCATGTGCAGAAAGGAAGGACCAGGAGAGCTGAATTCCTCCCTTGACGGAGTTTCCGATGTGGTTTCCCTGTCACGCACACACACAAACATGAGGAAAATACAAAATTTCGGGTATGTTCACAAAATATGTATATGTACACAGATACATATATATAGATTAGAGTATGTACTTGAAAGAAGTTGTTTGTTTTCTTGTTCTACAAGAGAATGACAAAGATTTTGTAAGACCAAAACTGGTTTCCCATTTGCTTATTTTAGAAATTGTTGAAAACAAATATATATATATATATATATATATATACACACACACACAAGAGAATAACAAAGATTTTGTAAGACCAAAACTGGTTTCTCATTTGTGTTTTTTAGAAATTCTTGAAAACAAATACATATATATATATATATATATATATGTATAACAAAATTGGGTCACAGTAGTTTTTTAATTCATTTGAATTATATAACTATATGCAGCTGTTTATTTTATTCTTTTAATATTGACAAATAAAAAATGACTTGATTTCAATGTTTTAAAATTTTAAAAATATGTGTGTATTTATATATATAATGTGTAATAAGCATAAATAAATTGTTAGATTGACAAACAAGCCCTCTTATTGACCAAGACATTATATGTACTTGCATGATAGCCTTAGTGATGCTAAGCATGAGAATATAACTACTAGAGAAATAGTTTCTATTACAATCATTTTGATTAAAAAAAAAAAAAAAAAAAAAAAAAAAGAGAAGGGGAAGCTCACTTAGAGATGTTTATGTTGTTTACATTGTTTCTAATTTAAAAGTACACTTTCTTCAAACACATATATGTAAACTTAAATGATGAATTGCAACATTATTCTACATCTATTCTTTACTTTGCTTATTCTTCTACAAATTTTGCTTTTCTTCATTGTAACTTCTTAGACAACTTAGAAGAAAAAGAAAAAGAAAAAGATCACTTAAATTAATTCTCATTAAAGCATTGCAAACCTTTTAATTTTATTTATTTATTTTTTGCTGTGATATTTAAATTGATAGAATATATTTATTCCAAAGCATATATTAAGCTTGAAATTTTGATGTTTGATTTTGATTGCAGTTTAAGCTTGTGAATCCATGTTTAATTTGATGCATGCTTTATTTTACCAACTTCTAAGAAACTAAAGCAAAGAACACATGCTTAAAGCTTCAACGTTACTATTTACAATTACCTAAGTATTTTGTGATAAAATTATGATTAGTGGTTGATTAATTGTTAGAAAAAATAAGCTACTTCTTATTTCTTTTCATAATATTTTTGTGATATTTTGTATTGTATATCAATAACTACTACTTTTAGGAATAAAATAATCTACAAAATCTTATTGTAGCTACTTACTTGTTAAATTGATACTTTTAGATTCACTTTCATATTTTGAACTAGTTAGAGGAGCGATTTTTTTCTAATTTTTTGTTTTGTTTATTTATTTTATAATTTAAGCACATTTAAAGCTTGCTTTGCTCATCTTTTGATTTTAATTTTTCGAATCATAATAATTTCTAGCATTGGTGTGCACTAATGAACCAGAAACCCTGAAAAGACATGTGAGACAGAGTAGGGAAATGAGGGGGGGGGGGCAACGCCGGTTTCCTCGAAGCTGTCGTGGAGCCTCGGTGCACGCCCGCCGTGCGATGGTGATTCCCAGATCAACGGGTTGGAAGGGCCGCAGCAACACAAAGCTCCGTGGTCCCTCCACAAACGGGTGGCTTATCTTCGCCCCAGTGGAAGGGAGGAGTCCTTTCTTCGTTCCGATAACAAACCCTTCCTTAATTCTTCTTCGTCTTGCTCTTTGCCACTGTTTTGTTGTTGTTGCATTCTCTTCCTCTGCGCTGCTTCCAATTTACTGCAGCAGCCTTGGCCATGGCGGTGGCGTCCATCGCTGCGGCTCTGCCGCTTCACCTCGGATTATCATCCCCTTGCTCTCCCTCCTCTTATGAGCATGGATTGCAAGCTTCGGGTCTGGTCAAGTCTGGTCCGGTTTGCAGAGTGGGTGTAGTTGGTGACGCTTGCAAGGGCGTAAAGTCATGGAGAGTGGGAGCTGTGCGAGGTATGGCGCCTGATGAGGAGAAGATGACGAGAAGAAGCCCGCTGGATTTCCCAATTGAATGGGACAGGCCTCGACCTGGAAGGAGAGCGGATATCTTCCCCCAATTCAGCCCCATGAAGACGCCGTTGCCCCCTCCTCTGCCCGCCGATCCGCCCGAAGAGGATGAAGAGGAGGAGGAGAAGAAGGAGGAGGAAGAGGAGAATCCTGATGAGCCCGAGAAACCGGACGTCTCGTTCTAAGCCTCGACTTCTGGGTTCGTTTTGTAGTAGACCATAACAATTTTTTCGTGGGGATGAGATTTAGGGTTTTGGTTGTGAGTTGAGCGAATTGTGCAACTTGGGGTCATCAAAGCATGCTTTCGGGTGCGCCAGTGTTGTCCAGATTTATGCGTGAGGGTTTCCTTAATTGCACATGTAGGTATACGCCGTCAATTCTCAGGCCTGAAGTTTTCCTTTGTAACAATAGCTATTAGAAATAAACATACTCTTAACTCCATTAACTCAAGTCTTCTCGTTCATTGAGTGCGTAAGCTCAGGGATGTGTTCTCTGTCTCAGCATCGAATTCAGCTTCCAGCCGGCACTTGTTTCCATTACTCTCGGAATTGTTTAATGCTGCCGACATAGACCTGATTGGCATCATCTTTCAAGACTTCTTCACACCGTGTTAACTTCCATGTGAATGGATAGAACCTGACTAAGAAATTCAGACGACACTGTCGTAAATCACCGCTTCTTCGTCGCTTGTTATGGGATGTAGCTCCCTTTTGTTAATAGAATCTCCCGTTTTATTGAATATGTGAAGGTGACATTTGCCCCAGCATTGATGACTCTCCACTGCTAGAAATTAGCTTCTCATTTCATGAATGAGTTGCAATTGCTCAGTGAAATTTTTCAGATGTTTACATTGAGCATTGCTATGCTTGGCGAAATGCCGCTCTGAGTGAAAAAGGAGCGGCAGCCATGTTCATGCAGGCACTGTTGTTTACAACGTCTGAAAAGTCTAGGGCCTTAACTGGCTCACACCTTTGTGGGTTAAAGGCACTTAAAAAAAAATATATTGACCATTAATTTTCTTTTTTTTCTATGTTGGTTATTGTGAAAAGATTTTAAATCCAAATATGTGATAACAAGTCTTCACCGGTTCCCATGTTTTTAGCCATTTGAAGTGCAATTTATAAAACAATAAAGTATGTCCAAAACATCTTCAGTGACATTTTACCCTGAATTTTGTTTTGTGAAAAATGGGTCAAAGTTTTTCAACATAACATGATGGAATGTAAAAAACCACAAATACTTAAAAACAATTATATTATGAACCTTGTAAAGTCTTAAAGTATGATTTTAACATCCATTTTGTTAAGATCAAATCATCTTCACTCCACAATTATAAAATCTAGGGAAAATATCATATATACCTCTCAAATATGTTGAAATATCAAGAATACCCCTACATTCTTCATAATAGCAAATGTATCCCTTGTGGTGATACCTATCACATACAAGGGGTACATTTGCTATTATATGTGATAGCAAAAGGGACATTCTTGATATTTCAGATTATTCAAGGGATATATTTGAAAATTTCCCTAGATTGTACTATGTGCAAGAATGTCCATTTTTCTAAATACAAGTCCAATATAAATAGTATTGTTGATCAAATCTCTATTTCTACAACCATCTTATTGGATATAACAAAGAAAAATCACAAATTATTGCTATAAGATTGATTCACAACCTAGTGCTAGTCAAAACCAGCTCTACAATGTGTTTTTCATGTCTTTGAGCTCATATTGTATATGGCCAATGCATACACAAAGTAGCCTTCATGAGATCAACAAAGGTCAAGAAGCTTGTCATGGTTGCTACAACACACAATAGCTTGAAGCTTGTGACCTTGGAGCTTAGAGGAAAATCCCCCATACTCATTTGTAAAAGACAAAAATATTGACAAAGTAGTTGAGCTTGACTATTTTGCTTTGTTCTTCAACCAAGACCAATGTCTATGAAAATATCTACCATAAGTTTGTAGAAAAATCCAAGGTGCACACCTTGAAGCATATTGTTGATGATTTATTCAAGAAGGACATGGAATAGGGTCCTTGTTTGGACAAGAACTAATTCTTGGTTATATTGAGAGTGACATAAAACAAGGTGCCAACCTTCTAACATGTGACAATCAACACATTTGTGCTCCATCCTTAATTCTTTTAATTCAATCATCAATAGCAATTCAAATTTCCTCATTTTCTAATATGAAATGAGGTGTTGGTTTGTAGGTGGAGATCATTTGGGAAGGAAGAGCTACTATATCAAGCCAACCATTTTTATTGCAAACACTTTGACACAATTGGGGTTGAATTGAAGAATCCATTGTATTATCAAGCATCTCTGCTTGAGGAAGCCAAACTTAAATAAACACAGCTATTAGGTGGTTGATTTCCAAAACAATGCAAATGATGTGTGGATGTATAGAATTGTTGATGTGCCCTTCAATTTGGGAAAAATTTCAAATATATCCCTCAAGTATCTTGAAATATCAAGAATCCCTTATATTTTTGATAATAGCAAATGTACCCATTGTATATAATAGGATATTACCACAAGAAATACATTTGCTATTATCAAAAATATAAGGACATTCATGATATTTTCCCTTAAATCTATTATTTTATTTTTTGATTATTATGTTTTTATTGTTTGAATTTAATTGTTTGGTTACTTAGAAATGAGTTCAAAGTTGAATTTCAAAGTTGAATTTCAAAGTTGAATTTCACTAGATATTCAATAAAATAGTTGAGAACATTTCAATAACAAAAATTATTATTGAAATACATAATGTTTAAAAACTTAGGTTTTATTTTAAATATTAAAATTTATTAAAATCTATAATTTTCAAGTAATAATATTATAAACGTCCTAAAAGTATATGAAAAAAAAAAAAAAAAAAAAAAAACACAGAAACGTACATTAAAACTCAATAGAAAAGCATCACCTTCACAATTCAAACTAAAAGCACATCCCAGAAAAATAATTAAGAGAGATTTTATCCACAAAGAAAACAAAAGTCTAGGAGAAAAATGCAAAAGCAAGTTTCGAAACTCACACAAAGCTTGAAACAAAGATTTCATTCGTTTCCTATGAAACAGTCTCAAACAATTTAAGTCCACTGGTTTTTTCAACATCTCACAGTGTTAGTTCTGTAACATCCACCACAACCCACGGTTTAATTTTTTATTTTATTTTATTTTATCTCTCTTTTCATTGTCACTTTTTGCCGATTGACGCCTTGATGTTCCCACGAAGCAATGGGTGTTCCAGTGTCAAGAACAATTGGGTGCACAATATAAAGAACAAAGTAGCAATACTACTAATAATAATAACAACTATAATTTCAACAACAAAAAAACACTAAGAAGAAACGAGGGTTTGGGGGTAACCCTGAATCCGCAGAGGAGTGCCAGAGCGAGAGGGAAGAGGGGCAACTATAGCCATGGCTATGGCTATGGCTCGCAATTGCGCTCTCCTCGCGGGGATGTTGCCTTACTGCCCGCGACGCCACTGATGCTGATCGCGTCAACCCTTCGGAACAGCTGCTCAATTTGCCCAGGCGACGAGCGTCGCCAGGAATCTCTCAACAAATTTCAGTCTTGTGGGTCACTCGATTTTTCTGTTTCTGTCGTGGAGGCGGCAACGAGGATGCAATGAGGTTGCAATGAGGGTGCAATGAGGCGCCGACGACTGACACCTGGGTTGAAGGTGGAGCTGGGTTTGTGCTCTTGGAACGCAGTGTTGGGCAATGGTTGGTTGGTTGGCTGGTTGATTGGATGATGTTGCGGGAGGTTTAGGTGGTGCGCGTGGATGGCAACGATGGTGGGGGGAGCAGGAGGTGGAGAGGGTAGTGTGCGAGAGAGGACGAAAGGCAGTGATGTGTTGATCCACCGGGTGGTGACTGACATTCCTGGTAAGGTTTGGTCTCTGTTGCTGGCAATGTCGGATTGATTGTGTCATTTTTCGGGGAGGGGGGATCTTGTAATCTTGATGGATTTGAGGGACTGGGTCGATGTGGAGTTGATTTGGGGATTCTGTTTGAGCAATAGTCGGTGCAATTTGGGAGCAGGGGGGCCAAAGCGGAGCAAGCTGGCGTCGGACACAAGCTGCTACGATACCCCATCGGCGCCAGTTAATTGTGCGGTCAATGTTTCTGATGTGATCGTCAAGGATGCACAGGCGGCACTGGCAATTTTGGTGAATGCTCCCATTGGTCTTATCCCTGAGGATCGTTATCCAAGTCCTCGTGTTCTGAAGAGGTCTGGGGATACTTTAGAAGACGCCGTTGTACTTGACGACGATGACGAGGAGGTGCAGGTTACGGGCTTCATCCCAAGGCCCCTCTTTGTGGAGAAACAAACTTTCAGTGACAAAGAGAACGGAAAGTTTATCAAGGAGGGCACCCTTGATGAGGAAGACATTTTTGGTCATCAGAGAATGCTCAAGGAAGTGGACATTCCTGCAGTCAACCTCAAAGAGGTTCAGACGGAGGGGGTCAGCTATATGAACATCAATGGCGATTTTCTCATCAGTTCTGCAAAAGAGAATTTGAAAAAGAGTACCAAAAAGCTGAAAAAGGGACCCAAGGTAATCGAGCGTCTCAAAGGACCCAAGGTAGTCGAGGGTCTCAAGGGACCCAAGGTAACCGAGGGTCTCAAGGGAACAGAGGGTGAAGCGAAATTGCCTTCTTGTAAAGGGGGAAAGGGTGGCGGAGGCAACGAAACCAATATGGAGGAGGATACTTTTAAGGAGCGGGTGTTTATTTCTCCCAAGAGCAAAAAGTCAAGAGCTCAGGTACTTGCGGAGGCTGTCGAGAGCGGGCCTGATTACGAAGTGGAGCATGATAGTGACAGTGACAATGATAGAAAGGCGACCCTTGGGACTGAGGAATCGTCGGACGACATTTGGGCGGACATTGCTGTAATGAAAACCCAGATGGTATTGGACTGCCCAATTTGCATTCTCAGATGATGCTGTAGCTTGAAGTGTTAGATTGGTGAATTGCGATCGAACAACTTGAATCTTTTCTGCAGGCTGACCTGGTTTTTATATAAGTAGTTTCTTCTTGGAATTTCCATGGCATGTGCTTACTGTCTAGATTGATAGTGATAATTCAATTTGACGACATCCGATGGTTGAACGCACTGCTTAAGGAGAAGAATCTTGCGTGTACAGAGAAAGGACAAGGACAATGTGGAGGAAGTGAGAGAATCTTGTGTGCATGTCTACGCGATCAAGAGCGACGTGGGCAGGGCTTGCACTCTGTGTGGATTGATAAAGGAAGACATCAAGGACATGACGTTCATGTGGCGCAGACCGGTATGGTATTGATTCGTTCTGCATTTATGCACTTTTTACTTGCTCTTTTCGCGCTTCAAATCAATGTAGCTTATTTTTTCTATGATAGCACATGTGAAGGTTGTTTTCTGGATCATCTTGCAGTGTTCTGTGCGGAAGATCCGTCTCAGAGGAGCTCGGCTTGACAGGTGGGATGGATGTGCTGGCGAAGTACTGGAAGAAGAAAAAAAGCTGGTTGGGATGGCTCAGCTGGAAGTGCACCCATTTTTGGAGAACTCGATGCACCCACATCAACTGGAAGGTTTCAAGTTTCTGTCCAGGAACCTTGTGGAGGAGGACTCAGGTGGCTGCATGTTGGCATTCGCACCTGGCACAGGAAAGTCTTTTCTAACTATCAGCTTCATACAGAGCTTCATGATCCAGGTTCCAAATGCGAGGCCCATGATCGTCGCTCCCAAGAGCATGCTTCGGCCATGGATGCAAGAGTTCAAAAAGTGGGAAGTTGAGGAGATGCTGGTGCACAACCTGTATGAAGCTGATGACCAGATAGAGATGCTGAAGCGATGGCAGGGAACCCCTAGTGTGTTGTTAGTAGGATACTCGCAGTTCGTCAACCCAAGCAGTGAAGTGGGTAGACTTCTAACGGAAGGTCCTGGTCTGATGGTAATGGACGAGGGACACCTTGCGAGGACGGAGGATACCAAGATCCTCAAGGCTTTAAGCAGAGTATTCACAAGACGCAGGGTGCTCCTATCTGGCACTCCATTCAACAACAATTTCGAGGAATTCTACACGACGCTGGAATTGGTGAGGCCCAATTTCATGATGAGCGCTAACGCTCAGATGTGTCCAACATTGAACACCTTCCAACTGATAGTTGACAACAAGATTGGCCCCAATCATCCTGTGGCAAATGGCCATCTCCTCAAGAGGCCCAGCAACTCTGGAAGGAAAGCGTTCAAGGATGTGATTGGAGAGAATTTCGAGAGTGGCAAGCACGGTAGTATTGCCAGGGCTCTGCAGCAGCTAAGGGTTCTCATCAAACCCTTTGTAGCTTGGCACAAAGGTCAAATATTAGACTCTCTGCCAGGTATCACTGACCTCACAGTTATGCTTCAACTAACTGCTGAGCAGCTGGAACTGGTAGAGAAAAACAAAAAGAGCGAGGTCAGGGACAGTTTGCAGAAACGAGCAGCGGCAATCTACGTACATCCCATTCTAGAGCCAGTAGCCAACGGTTGTAAACGAACACAAAAAGATCCTCGTTTGAAAGGGGACGTGGATGTGAAAGCGGGTGTGAAGTTGAAGTGGGTGCTTGACTTAGTGCAACTGTGCGATGCTGCCAAAGAGAAGGTGCTCATTTTCAGCGAGTATCTGTACTCCCTGGCATTAATCGAAAACATGACCATGCAGAGGATGAATTGGTCTAGAGGTTCACAGATTCTTAGGCTGGATGGGTCGTTGCCTCCACAAGAAAGAGAAATGGTTCAACACAAGTTCAACACTGATCCTGAAGCGAAAATGTTGTGTGCATCCATCAAGGCATGTGGAGAGGGCATATCCCTTGTGGGAGCTTCGAGGGTGGTCTTACTAGAGGTGCATTGGAACCCGTCAGTCCCACGTCAGGCTATTAGTAGAGCGTTCCGAATCGGCCAGCAGAGGAAAGTTGTGGTGTATCGACTGATCGCTGCAGACACATATGAGGCGACGAACATGCACGCCGTCGCCACGCGGAAAGAGTGGCTGTCAAGGTTGCTGTTCGATCCAACCATTCCTTGTGATGATCCCAACAGTATTCTGTGGGATGTCACGAAGGATTGTAGTGACTTATTTCTTGCTAACTTGGCGGGGCCACTTCGGGAGAATGTTAGCAGAATTTATCAACGAGAATTCTAATCTGAATTCCTCGTTATTGTACATGACAGATGGTGATAAATTTGAGGGAATTTCCCCCGATACTAGAAGTTTTCGTACGTTCTCATGTGGTGAAGCACTCAGGGTCTTCAATTGTTTTACTTTTCATAAGTGTCTTGGTTTTGATCTCCTCCTGTCTCCTTTCGCATTTGAGGAAATCTCTGTCGTTTGCGCTGGTTGAGCTTGACCAGTGCCAATTCGGGCATTTCCTTGACTTCCTTGCATGTTTATTTTGAGACTCTTCGAACTCTAACGACATACGATCAGTACGGAGATCCAGATATTTGAGCTCATTGTAGATCGCCGATTGAATACAATCGTCAAACAAGTTGACAGCCTCGATCTAGCAGACTGTGCGATGAAGGTTGACACCCCTTTGGGGTTTCCTCACATGATCTCGTGCAAAACGCTCTGAAGGTTTCAATGGATCTAAATTGTTCTTACTTATCTGTGCTTTGTGTCTCTAAGCGCACCGGTTTTGAATACTATTCAATTGTTGGAGCCAAGGAACTAATGTAATTAGAGGGTTTGTTTTGTAGTTGGTTAAGTTACATGTTGAAGCATATGTTTTTATTTGATTGTTTATTGAGAATCACCGAAGCTTTGTCCAATATATAAGAATTTTAGAAAACCAACTATTTACTGTATTTTAGAATTTAACATTTAAACTAAGCATCACATTTTTTTTACTTTGTAGAGTAAAAATCATAAATGAAGATTAATGCTATATGGACTTACTATAAGACTTTTAAAAGTGTTTTCTTATTTATTTTTATTTTTTTATAAGTATATTGGCCTATTTAATAAATTCTTTTAGCTATGTAAGTTTTTGGAATAGATCCAAAAATCAATTCATATTTTTTGGAACATTTAATCAAGTACTTAATGATGATGGTTATTGATGTCTATTAAAATATGTTTTTAAATTTTTTATATAATTTATATATTACTTATAATATCATTATGCAAAAGAAACTATTGTGTATATATATATATATATATATATATATATATATATATATGAAATATATGATATTACAAAATAGTTTTTGATATCAATTATGAATTAAAATTTAAAACATTGTAATTTCTTCATTTCTTAAAATAACTAGTTAAATATTCTTAGTGCATAGTTAGATTCTTTGAAATAAGATTAAGAAAAAAAAAGAAAAAAATAGTTACTAAATTTATAAGTCTAAGAATATTTAAATTCTACCAATATCAATTAGTCTTGGCATATTAGTTCTTGCTTCTAACTTACTAAATATGTTAATCTTATTTAAAAAACTATATAATTATATTATTTATCTTAGTTAAAGAAATTGTATTGTTCATTTGATAGGATTTTAATTTATGCTCTTTCAATCCTCCTAAATTATTTAGAAGTTAAAAAAAGAAGAAATTATCAATTTTTTTCTAAAAACTAATATTATAAACGTGAAATCTTACTAATAAGAAGCATTATAGATTTTTTTCTTATTAGATATTAAATTTTTTCAAGAACATTTTTTAACTATAAAAATATTACACTTATTTTCAAATGTAATGTTTATTATACTAATTAATGTTTATTAATCTCATTAATGCTTTAATTTTTTTATAGATGAAATAATTTAAATACTTAATATCTTTAATTAATCGATAGTGCAAAATATGTCCTCTCATATTGACACCATGTATTAATCTTATTCAATATTATTATTAATATATATATGTAATCTATGCATATTTTTTTTATTTAAAAAAAATCTCTTCATTCCTTTTTTTCTATATATATACATATACTAGCTGAACTTGTACCATTGTCACAAAAAACATGCAAAAATATTTTATAATAGAGATTGGATACATCTCTAATAACAATAATAATCAAACAATGTTGTAAAATTGAGCTTTTAGATATTTATAAGTATTCATACTTACATACATACATACATTTAATGAATGTGGTTTTTAATTAATAATAACATATACTTATGTTATTTTAGAATTGCCATGATATCATATTTAAAACAATTGATTTATGAAAAACTTCATGTGAGATGGTTTCAAAAAACTATAATAAAAAGAAGTGATTCACCTCATCAAAACTCCTATCTAACCTAAAAAAAAGTTAACCAACATTGTTTATTCTTTTGTTCATCTACATAAGATTGGTTTAATATTTACAAAATGGTAAGTCACACAATTAAAAAAAGTAGCTCCATGGTAGTATATTTTGGTTAAGATCCACAAAATGTACTACAAAAAATTGTCACAAAAATTGAACTTAATATAATCCAAAAATAAGAAAAAAACTTACAAATCTAAAAAATTAGAATAGTTCTTTAGTGAGGTCATATAGAGTTGGACCTTAGGCATGCCAAATCTCTTTAAGATCTGTGGTAAAAGTGACCAAAGAAACAAAACTACACATTGTCAAGTTTGCCTACCATGGCTTGAAGCTAATAAGTATGGCATAGAGATACTATAGCTTGGCAAGTAAGAACAGAAAGAATCATAATTGAAAATGCTCCACTGCATCTTTTAATTAAGTTTTTAGTAAAAACTTTTGCTTCATTGTTTTTACCAAAAAGTTTAGTTTGTTGATATTAAGATCTCAACTTTTTAAGCATTTTACCTTGCACATTAGTAGAATTGTTTTGCAATTAGGTTCTTCAAAACTGATTCTACATTAATATATCAACAAAGTCTAGAAACAAAAAAAAAAAAAAAAAAAAAAAAAAAAAAAATGGTAAAGTGAGGAAATATTATAAGAATAATTTACCTTTTACAAATCAGATTATGGACTTAACATACAATTAACTGTGCATGTAAAAAAATGCAATCCGTTTTATTTATTTTTTTACATGTTTATAATAAATAACATGTAATTATTGATGGTCTAAAAGATGTTATTTAATAATAAGTCGTTTTTATTTCTTTTGTTGTTGATGTCAATAAAAAGATATTTATTCTATCAAAAATATAAATTTATTTATATTTGTATTACTTTTTAAAGTTAAAACAAATCTAAATTAAATTTTAGGAATTAAATTCTTTAAGCATATCAAATCGATATAAATACATGTTGATTTTTTAATAAGTTTTCAAAATTATATATAAAAATAATATTTGATATTTTAAAAAAATTACAAATATTTAATTTTTCATATTCATTACATTTTATATATTTATAATTCTTACAAAGAAATTTTATTATTTTATAAATTTAAGTATTTAATATTTGAAAACTAACTTTATCAATTATGTAGACTATCAATCATATGATGCATGATAAATGTTTTCTAATCTTAATGTATCAATGACAATTTCACATGGCATCAAGAAAAGAATTTGATTTTTATTTCAAATAAAAATAAAATTTAAATTTTTATAAATTATATTTTTTTATCATAAGTATATTTTTTTATTTTTTGAAATAGATTTATGTACTTCATTTTTTACAAATAAATTATATCTTTAATTAAATTAACATACACAAATATAAATATATAGATTTGAATTGTTGTCATTTATTATGAAAATTCATTATCACAATTTTATTTGTATTTCATTTAGTCAATGTACTTAATTCATCTTTATCTATTATAGAAGTACCAAGATACATGAAAGTAAACAAAATCAAGAGATATTTGAAATATTCTTCATAATGTAACATTTTATGGCAAGTTTTGAAATTTTTTGCAATGTTCAATACATTAGATTTTTTCCATTTGATATAATAAAGTAGATAAAATATTGTAATATGCTTTAAAATATTATAATTACAAAAAATTTAAGACAATTCTAGAATCTCAATCTATTTTAGAAATCTAATTTTTGTTTAAATAATGCCTTCACTTAGTTGCATCATTAATTTATTTAAATTCTATAAAGCTTTTTAATATTGATTATTTCTTTTAATGTAGTTTATAGCATATACTTGCATAAAAAAAGTTTTTTAGTAAAATAAAAATTTTAGATTGTATTTTCATATGAAGTTATTTTTTTTCTTTATTCATAATTTTTCATATAAATTTGCATAAGTTTAAATTGGTTATAAGTAGAAGAATTCCAACTTTAAGTCTGGACAAAACTATATAAAAAATTTCCATCAATTGAGCCTTATTATCATGGATATACTATACAAGAGACTAAATAAGATGTTGAATAAATGAGTTTCAATAAGAAAACTAATAAGAGCTTGATTAAACCTCATAAGTACAAGATCAATACCAAAAGAGGTAAGCTAGAACTTTAAAAGATGTATTGACAAGACTAAAGATCCTCTCAATCTTGTCTCTAATATATATTAGGTATTAGGAAGCTTTTTGAGAAGTTTCTATGTTGCTTGAAGATGATGCAACTCTAAGAAGCTTCTTAGATAATTTTCTTTATCATCGTAGAATTTTCTAAATATTTTTAGAATATACTAAAAATCTTTTAGAATCTTATAGAAAATTCTAAAAACCTCTTTAGAATATTTTTAGAATCTTATATTAGATTATTTTAAGAATCTTTTTAAAATCTTCTTGTTGGATGCTCATAATATCACTTCTCTTTTTAATTCCAAGTTCTATAAGGAGCATTGCTTCCATATTTGTTTTCTTTATTATATGCAATATCTTAATTTTAGCTTTATATAAAAGTCATTCTAAAATAGATTTAGATTTTTGAAAATAGCTTTGATGAAACTCTTATATCTTTTGCAGTGCATTAATTAGATTTTCTATTGGTTTCTATATACACTCATTGATATTGTAGGTGCACCAATGAATAAATATTCTAATTTTCTTTTTATTTGTTAAGAATCAAAGATCTTTTCCACTTCATATTTCACATGATTATCTATTTCAATACAAAGTAGTGATGGTTGTATTCTTCTTGGAATAGTTGATTTTGAATAAGCCTCTAAGAGAGAAACATAAAAGATTGGATGTATCTTTATAGATATAAGTAGTTTCAATCAATAAGCCATTGAATTGATTTGATTTTAAATACAAAATGGCTCCAATCTTTGATAATCCAACTTATTATAAAGTCAATTGGTCTTGATATTTTATCAAAAAAACCATAT